GGGCGGGGCTTATACTTGCCAAGATAACACTGACTTTGGCAAATGATATACCCTGTAAGAAAACAGAGGGCGGGTGGGCGGGGCTAGTGCTTGGTAAGATAAGACTGATTTTGGCAAATAATATACCTTCCAAGGAAATAGAGGGCGGGTGGGCGGGGCTAGAACTTCATAAGATAAGACTGATTTTGGCAAATTGTATACCCTGTAAGAAAACAGAGGGTATATTATTTGCTAAAATCAGTCTTATCTTAATTTCGGCCAATTTTTGACATTTTCGAAACTTAACTAAACATATTTTCTTGTAGATTTCGAGCTCTAGATTGATAAGTGCAACCGCTTTTCCAGAATCGACCGTTGGAATATCGAAAATTTTTAGAAATCTTCAAAAATTCGCATTTCGTACCGATTCTTTCAAAAATGTTGCTCCGTGACCATCAACACGCTATATTTTTGGAATCAACATGTCGAACTCTACGTCCCTGATTTTTTTCACAATTTTTAGACAAATTTTTTAAAAGCGAAATGTTTTCAATGTCCACCTTCCTCAAATTTCGGCCAATTTTTGACATTTTCGAAACTTCTCTAAATTCATTTTCTTGTAGATTTCGAGCTCTAGAACTCACTTCCGGCATCGTTTCTTTGATAACTGCAACCGTTTTCCCGGAATCGACCGCTGAAATATCGAAATTTTTAGAAATTTTCAAAAATTCGCATTTCGTACCGATTCTTTCGAAAATCTTGCTCCGTGGCCATCAACACACTACATTTTTGGAATCAGCATGTCGAGATCTACCTCCCTGAATTTTTTCACAATTTTTGGACTACTTTTTTAAAAGTGAAATTTTTCCAATGGTCCCCCATTCTTCAAATTTCGGTGAAATTTTGACATTTTCAAAACTTAACCAAACACATTTTCTTGTTGATTTCGAGCTCTAGAACTCACTTCCGGCATCGTTTCTTTGATAACTGCAACCGTTTTCCCGGAATCGACCGCTGAAATATCGAAATTTTTAGAAATTGTTAAAAATTCGCATTTCGTACCGATTCTTTCGAAACTGTTGCTCCGTGACCATCAACACACTACATTTTTGGAATCAGCATGTCGAGATCTACCTCCCTGAATTTTTTCACAATTTTTGGACAACTTTTTTAAAAGTGAAATTTTTCCAATGGTCCCCCCTTCTTCAAATTTCGGTGAAATTTTGACATTTTCGAAACTTAACTAAACACATTTTCTTGTTGAAATATCGAAATTTTTAGAAATACTCAAAAATTCGCATTTCGTACCGATTCTTTGGGAAATCTTTTTCCGTGACCATCAACACACTACATTTTTGGAATCAGCATGTCGAGATCTACCTCCCTGAATTTTTTCATAATTTTTGGACAACTTTTTTAAAAGTAAAATTTTTTAAATGGTCCCCCATTCTTCAAATTTCGGTGAAATTTTGACATTTTCGAAACTTAACTAAACACATTTTCTTGTTGATTTCGAGCTCTAGAACTCACTTCCGGCATCGTTTCTTTGATAACTGCAACCGTTTTCCCGGAATCGACCGCTGAAATATCGAAATTTTTAGAAATTGTTAAAAATTCGCATTTCGTACCGATTCTTTCGAAAATGTTGCTCCGTGACCATCAACACACTACATTTTTGGAATCAGCATGTCGAGATCTACCTCCCTGAATTTTTTCACAATTTTTGGACAACTTTTTTAAAAGTGAAATTTTTCCAATGGTCCCCCCTTCTTCAAATTTCGGTGAAATTTTGACATTTTCGAAACTTAACTAAACACATTTTCTTGTTGATTTCGAGCTCTAGAACTCACTTCCGGCATCGTTTCTTTGATAACTGCAACCGTTTTCCCGGAATCGACCGCTGAAATATCGAAATTTTTAGAAATTGTTAAAAATTCGCATTTCGTACCGATTCTTTCGAAAATGTTGCTCCGTGACCATCAACACACTACATTTTTGGAATCAGCATGTCGAGATCTACCTCCCTGAATTTTTTCACAATTTTTGGACAACTTTTTTAAAAGTGAAATTTTTCCAATGGTCCCCCCTTCTTCAAATTTCGGTGAAATTTTGACATTTTCGAAACTTAACTAAACACATTTTCTTGTTGATTTCGAGCTCTAGAACTCACTTCCGGCATCGTTTCTTTGATAACTGCAACCGTTTTCCCGGAATCGTCCGCTGAAATATCACAATTTTTAGAAATTGTTAAAAATTCGCATTTCGTACCGATTCTTTCGAAAATGTTGCTCCGTGACCATCAACACACTACATTTTTGGAATCAGCATGTCGAGATCTACCTCCCTGAATTTTTTAACAATTTTTGGACAACTTTTTTAAAAGTGAAATTTTTCCAATGGTCCCCCTTCTTCAAATTTCGGTGAAATTTTGACATTTTCGAAACTTAACTAAACACATTTTCTTGTTGATTTCGAGCTCTAGAACTCACTTCCGGCATCGTTTCTTTGATAACTGCAACCGTTTTCCCGGAATCGACCGCTGAAATATCGAAATTTTTAGAAATTGTTAAAAATTCGCATTTCGTACCGATTCTTTCGAAAATGTTGCTCCGTGACCATCAACACACTACATTTTTGGAATCAGCATGTCGAGATCTACCTCCATGAATTTTTTCACAATTTTTGGACAACTTTTTTAAAAGTGAAATTTTTCCAATGGTCCCCCCTTCTTCAAATTTCGGTGAAATTTTGACATTTTCGAAACTTAACTAAACACATTTTCTTGTTGAAATATCGAAATTTTTAGAAATTCTCAAAAATTCGCATTTCGTACCGATTCTTTGGGAAATCTTTTTCCGTGACCATCAACACACTACATTTTTGGAATCAGCATGTCGAGATCTACCTCCCTGAATTTTTTCATAATTTTTGGACAACTTTTTTAAAAGTAAAATTTTTTAAATGGTCCCCCATTCTTCAAATTTCGGTGAAATTTTGACATTTTCGAAACTTAACTAAACACATTTTCTTGTTGATTTCGAGCTCTAGAACTCACTTCCGGCATCGTTTCTTTGATAACTGCAACCGTTTTCCCGGAATCGACCGCTGAAATATCGAAATTTTTAGAAATCCTCAAAAATTCGCATTTCGTACCGATTCTTTGGGAAATCTTTTTCCGTGACCATCAACACACTACATTTTTGGAATCAGCATGTCGAGATCTACCTCCCTGAATTTTTTAACAATTTTTGGACAACTTTTTTAAAAGTGAGATTTTTCCAATGGTCCCCCCTTCTTCAAAATTCGGTGAAATTTTGACATTTTCGAAACTTATCTAAACACATTTTCTTGTTGATTTCGAGCTCTAGAGCTCACTTCCGGCATCGTTTCTTTGATAACTGCAACCGTTTTCCCGGAATCGATCGTTGAAATATCGAAATTTTTAGAAATTCTCAAAAATTCGCATTTCGTACCGATTCTTTGGGAAATCTTTTTCCGTGACCATCAACACACTACATTTTTGGAATCAGCATGTCGAGATCTACCTCCCTGAATTTTTTAACAATTTTTGGACAACTTTTTTAAAAGTGAAATTTTTCCAATGTTCCCCCCTTCTTCAAAATTCGGTGAAATTTTGACATTTTCGAAACTTAACTAAACACATTTTCTTGTTGATTTCGAGCTCTAGAACTCACTTCCGGCATCGTTTCTTTGATAACTGCAACCGTTTTCCTGGAATCGACCGCTGAAATATCGAAATTTTTAGTAATTGTTAAAAATTCGCATTTCGTACCGATTCTTTCGAAAATGTTCCGTGACCATCAACACACTACATTTTTGGAATCAGCATGTCGAGATCTACGTCCCTGAATTTTTTCACAATTTTTGGACAACTTTTTTAAAAGTGAAATTTTTTCAATGGTCCCCCCTTCTTCAAATTTCGGCCAATTTTTGACAATTTCGAAACTTCACTAAATACATTTTCTTGTAGATTTCGAGCTCTAGAACTAACTTCCGGACTCGTTTCTTTGATAACTGCAACCGTTTTTCCGGAATCGACCGTTGAAATATCGAAATTTTTAGAAATCTTCAAAAATTCGCATTTCGTAGCGATTATTTCGAAAATGTTAGTCCGTGACATCAACACGCTATATTTTTGGAATCAACATGTCGCACTCTACGTCCCTGAATTGTAGACTACATCTGTAACACTTAATTAAGTAATTAATGTAGATATTGTAAACATATTTACCAAACGTGTGTTTATCGCATTAATTGCATTTTTTGCGCGAAGTTGGCAAAACCTGTTCAAATTACCCCACAACACTTAAATTCTTGCTACGCCTCTGTGTCTATTTCCAATCGTCTGTCCTCTAATTAAGAACCGTTTCGGAATTCTAATCCCCGCAAAATTCGCTCGTCCAATAGTGGTCCCCATTCTCCTTAAAACACCTTGTACAACATGCTATAAAATTTTATCACAGTCCGCCAATATTTTCTGTGACCCGCTGTCGGAGTTCTGACGCGACACCTTTTTTATCATGTCGAAAAGCGTTCAGATCTTTGATAACCTATACAAGTGAAACGTGCTTGAGTAAACTAGCCAACTCCACTGTGACATTGCTTCTTACTTCCTTGTCTCTCGCAAAACTACCCATTTCAAGAAAATGGACGAGCAGAACTTTGTTCTATCGTAATGTCGTGCAGACTTCACATTCCGTCTAAAATGGTGCGACAATTTACATCAGGAGAGTTTGTGACAAATTAAAAGTATCAATTGATAAAAAAATAAATTCTAAAATTCATTTGATAATAAATATTGTCTAAATTTTATGGAATAATATATTCCAACGGAGAATGAGCGAAATCATGTGGAGTTACTGTTGTTCAGTGGTAGACTTCCTTAACGAGTTAAACAGGTACTAGGAAACTTTTTTTTCTGACACATAATTTATTCACTTCATAAATGCTTAAGTATAATTAATGTTATAATAATGTCGTCCATCTGAATAACAAATTTCTATACATTGTAGTTTTCTCAGAAAAACACCCAATAAATGGTGTAATCAAACCAACAAGCTATTAATACCAAACGAGCTCACTCTTAAACATGGACCACGTTAGTCAAGACACAAAAACGAAAATCTACCAAACATTCAACAGAAATGACGAAATGGTGCAAGACGACGTCAACATCATCAAAACTTGGATGCAAACTCAACCCCATCTTCCCGAAATCCTAGGTGAGTGAAAAATCTTTCTTTCAAACCCTAAAACAATCCTTTAGATGACGCCAGAATCAAAAACTTTCTCAACCTCAACAAGTTCAGCATCGAAAAAACTAAACAAAAAATCGACATGTATTACACTATTCGCACTCTAATACCCGAGATTTTTCAAAAAGGCAATCTAAATTTGGAAAACATCAAGAAAGTGTTTGACGACTGGTACATGTTTTATTTTCCCGTGCTGGTCAACGACGTCCGTCGGGTGTACTACGTAAGACCCAAGAGATTCAACGTCGTGGAACCTGTCTCTGTTTCGGCAGTTTTTTTTGCGATGTATGAAGTAAGGTTACGTGAAGACTTTATAGTCGATGATATTTTTATTTTTGATATGGATAACTACTCAGTCGGGGATGTTCAAAAACTGACTCCGACCGTATTCTCAAACTTTTATGGAATTTATCAGGTACTTAGGTACTATAATCACGAGAAAGCCACTTTTAACCGGTTAAAATTCCCACAGAAAGTTTATGCCCTCAGACTCCACAAACTTATATATTTGAACTGTCCGTCTTATATGACTATCATTGTCACGATTTTGAAAACGGTACTGAAGGCGAAATTGTTTGCAAGAGCCGAATTTTACTCCGATGATCTCGGAATAAAGAAACTTTTCTCGAAGGAAGTACTCCCAAAGGAGTACGGGGGAGATGGACCCTCGCTAGACGAACTAAATGGTATTTTTTTTTTCGAAATTGGTACTAGATCTAATAATTTTTGTTCAGATGTAATGCACAAGAAGTTAGCCGAATATCAAGACAGATTCGATCAGTTGGATGGGTTAAGGGTCGACGAAAACCTGCGACCAGAGAAATTGAACAACGACGAAATTTTGGGCTACTATGGAAATTTCAAGAAAATAAATTTCGACTAATAATGACAATATTAACACTACTTTCAAGAACTTGCACATTTTGGTTAAGGGGGTCTGATTTAATGACTATAGTTGTATGTGTATAAGAGGTCTATTGATAATAAATCTTGAGTATTTACGAACATTCCAGAAAAAATAGTTTAGTTAGCAATTAATAACACAAACATGCGTCATTTCTTTAACAAGTTGAACCGGTACTAGAAAATTGCTTATAATATGAAAATCGATTTAAGGTACGCAGTAAATCGAGTATTAAAGCAAACAAACCACTAACAAAACCACTCTTGTTGAACATGAGCCAAGTTAGTCAAGATACAAAAAAGAAAATCTACGAAACCTTCGGTAGAAATGAAGAAATGGTGGAAGACGACGTCAACATCATCAAGACGTGGATGCAAACCCAACCCCACCTTCCCGAAATTCTGGGTAAGTCAAAAATCTTACTTTTGACACTAAACCAAGTTATTTAGATGACACTAGAATCAAAAACTTCCTCAATCTCAACAAGTTTAGTCTCGAAAAAACTAAGCAAAAAATCGACATGTATTACACCATTCGAACTTTAGTGCCTGACATTTTCCAAAAAGGCAAGCTAAAACTGGAAAATATCCAGAAAGTGTTTGACGACTGGTACGTTTTTTATTTTCCTATGTTGGTGAATGACGTCCATCGGGTGTACTACATGAAAGCTAAAAGACCCAATATCGTGGAACCTGTATCTATTACAGCAGTTTTATTCGCGTTGTATGAAATAAGGTTACATGAAGATTTTATGGTTGACGATATTGTTGTCGTTGACATGGGCAACCATACCTTCAGGGACGTCCAACAAATGACTCCCACCTATATGTCAAACTGTCATGCCATCTATAAGGTATTAATTAAATCGCGAAGAAACAGCTTTTCACTGATTAAAATTCCCGCAGAAAGTGTATTCTCTCAGACTGAAGAAAATTGTCTTTCTCAACTGTCCGTCCTACATTTCTATTCTTGTCGCACTTTTGAAAAACGTACTGACACCGAAGTTGTTTGAGAGAGTCGAATTCGACCCAGATGACGCAGGAATAAAGAAAGTTTTGTCGAAAGGACTACTCCCGAAGGAGTATGGGGGAGAAGGACTTTCACTAGACAACCTAAATGGTAAATTTCAAAATTGACACCACTGCTAAAATATAGGAGTATTTATTTAGATATAATGTATAAGAAACTAGGTGAATATCAAACCAGATTCGACCAGTTGGATGAGTTAAGGGTCGACGAAAGCCTACGACCAGAGAAACTGAACAATGACGAAATTCTGGGGTACTATGGAAGTTTCAAGAAGATAAATATTGACTAGTATGACGACATTGTCACTTAAAACGTTTTTATTTAAAAAATATCTACACTAACAAAAATAAACTATTCACAACGACAAAGTACAAATCACAGTTTCTTCCTCCTCCCCTTTCTCCTCCCACCCCTCCCCCTCCCTTCCTCGTGCATTCTCTTGACGTGCACCTGAAGATTGAACTTCTTCTTTGACTTAAAACAACACCTGTCACATTCATACCACTGGATATCCTCCTCGGCTGTATGTAGAGACATCACGTGACCTTTCAAAGCTGACAACTTCTTCCCTCTGTAGGGACACTTATCACAAACGAACCACTGAATCTTTCCAGGGGGCAAATGTCTGGCGATTTTGTGCGACTTAATATTATCCTTCTGTTTAGCTTGAAAACCACACTGGTCACATGTGTACCATCGGATATCCTCCAGAGGTGTATGCCTCAACTTCATGTGTCTGGTCAAATTGCCTGGGAATTTCGTCTTCAAGCTACAGTACCGACACTTATAAACCCCATTGTGTTGCAGCCGTTTCAAGTGCTTCAGTTTTTTCACACAAAGGAGGCTGTGTTTGAGTAGTACCAACTTTGACAGGGTGCGAAATCCATTACAGCTTCTACATTCAAAGCTCCTGGGTGTTGTTTGGTGCTTGTTTTCAACGTGGTTGTTCAAAATCGTGACTAGGGGGGTTCTAAGGGGGCAGTCTTTGCAACGGTACTGCTGCAGCGGTTGTGCACAAGTAAAATGCAAAGACAATGTTTCTGGGTACTTTGTTACATGGCTCGACATGAAAATAACGAAAAAAGTACGAATCACAGTCGGGGTTTGTACTTGTGGTACTGCAAGCGTCTGGTGATTCCTAACCTATACATTTGGGTAAAACCTTGAACAGACGCTAATCACGATTAAAAAATACACAACTTGTACTTACTTTGGGAATTCTTGTTACTATTGTTTGTTTATTTTGTACGAAAAATGAGGTTAGAGGCATGCGTCAAACTCGGGGTACGTTCAGTACTTTGTCTCGGTGACCTTCAACTTGACGGAAAATTAACGTCACTAGTGTCAACCATGTCAAAGCGCTACATCACTCTCACTTCACTTTTAGTCCTGGTGCATTCCCTGAAACGACAAACCCCATGCGACGACTCCTGGACCATGAACTGGTAGTACCCGCCAACCCACTTTTATCAGTAACGAAAGTTTTGCAGCCCCATTGAGTTGAACGAAACAGGTACCCCTTTTTATTTGTACCGCTTCAAAACCAACCGCATTGTCATAAAATTTTCGACCAAGTGCGACTTCGACAACGTTAAGTACTCGTGGAAATTCTACTCCGAGCGTACTAAAAAAGAATTTTACCATAACGATAATACCAGTGTCAAGGTGGTACAACCGTACGAGTGGGACAACGGAGAGTATGCCATTTCGGTTGAGGTGTCGCTGCAACGAAACGGACTTCTGATCCCAGATTTCATCGGAGTACTTTTTGTTTGTTGTTTTTCTTTTAACAATTTGTTGTTTGGTAGTGCGTACTCGAGATGGTTTCGCTGGACCCAATCCCGGTGATTAAAGGCGGGAGTTACCGGATGATAGAGCCGGGGACTGTGTTGGTACTGGATAGTTCGGGCTCTATCGATAGAGACGTACCGCCACATGTACGTGGTACTATAATGGCGAAGTGGAGTTGTCGACTAAGTACCGGGAGCGGCGTTACCAGTTGTTTGGACGACGAAGAAGGTAACTGGTACTCACTAATTGGTTTATTTTAAAGTCAACTCAAACAGGCGAAATTGTTACTTTGAAACCAGACTCGGTGGTCAACAACGAGTACTTGTTTATTTTAAAAATTAGAACTAAAAGTAACCCGAAATGGGTGTCTACTAATCAAACTGTGGTAGTTCAGGAAGGAGTGACTCCTTTAGAGATTGTTTGTGTGAAGAACTGTCCTCCTGCAGCTCCTACTACTGATAGTACCCGCGGTACTTTCCTTCGCGTCCGGTGTTTAAACAACTGTGACGATATTGAAGAATCGTCGTACGAATGGACTGTGGATGGAGATTTTGACTACGAGAAAATGACACAGTTTGGACGAAATACAGACAAGTTTGTGATCAAAGAAAATGTTTTTGAGTACGGTAACGACTACGTTGTGAGTGTCAAACTGGTAGACCGTCCCGGTATGGCCAAAAAAACGTTACAGTTGCCACGTCCTATCAAAATTGACAGCTGCAAAGTCACACCACCGGAAGGAACCGCCCTTTCCACTAAGTTCACAGTCGAGTGTAACTTCACCGGAGTCGAATTTAGTACCGAAGTAATCGCAGTGAATGACAAAATAAGTACGTCTATTGACACAGTACCGCTTGTTTTAATCGCAGTTTTAGCTGTCGTTATGACCACCAGTCCCCGTTTGAAATTCTTGGAGTTTCTTCTTCCACTCGACGTCGACGCGTACCTCGGAATAACCGACATCAACGATTATCAAGACGTCTACAAACTGGATGTCAAAGTAAGGTCTGACGATAGCCAAGAACTCGCTTCGTTGATCAGTTCCTTCAACCAGTCAATCTCGCGCGCAGACATCGACTCAGTGGTCCAAATCACCAGTGGTATAATCCTAGAAATGGCCAAAAAACCACCTTCTGAAACCAAGTCAATCAAACAAACCCTATTGCAAAATCTCAACCAAATCGACATGCTATCTGAACACGAAGCCCAACAAATGTCGGCCCTTATAGTTGCCCTCGTGCATGACCCTAAATCCGACTCAGACCCCTACCAAGGTCAAGTAGCCACCCAAATTTGCAAAAAAGTGGCCGATGTTCACCTACAATCCACACAAAACGACTCCTTCCCCAGTACTTTGACCACAAAAAGTCAAAAAAGTGCAGCCACTTTGATGAGTTGCGCCGAAACTGACACCAAAGAGAATTTGGAAATTATGCAATCGAAGCCGTTGACGTTCGACGTGACTACGCCATTTCCGGTACTCGATATACCCGTGATTGACGAAGAGTACCCCGATTACGAAACAGATCACTCGATTTTTGAGAAACAGAAGAAGTACGAACTGGCGTCCATAAACTCGATGGAGATATGTAAGATGAGTCTGGAGGCGTTGAGTCTCACGGTCGCCGAAGGCGAGGAGACTCTAACGGCCGAAAGTACCAATTCCAGTGCTCAAATCACTAAACTCGTTGGTACGACTTTAGTTAAGAAGGAAATTGAGATTCGCGGAGCCGTGCTTCAACCGTCGCGCGATTTTGAAGATGTTGAAGACGCTATAGACGTTATGGTGTGTTCGTGGGCTTACAATCCCTTCTGGTGGAGCTCTTTCAGACGTACCATTTTGACTAACGTACTTATGGTTAAGTTTGTCAAAAGTGGCGAAGAGGTGAATAGGTTTGAGAAACCTAACTTGGTACTATTGAGTCTACAACATGAACGCCAAATTCTGAGACACCAGTTTGAAATTGGCAACAACTCAATAGTTAGAATTGATGTCAAAAGAGGTGAAAGTTTTTTCGTCGAATTTAGTAATTTGTCACAGAGTGACTCTGCACGGGTTTTGATAACCAATTTTGATAAACCTGAAGTACTTGAGGTGATGACGAAGGGTCGCGTTGTTACCAAGAGCGACAACGTTGTCTATCAAGACGAAGAAAATGGGTTTGATAGTTGGTACTACTTATCAATTTTACCAGAAGCGGTGAGTATTGTCAAACTAGATGATTTAATTGAACTAAGTTATTAGGACATGGGTCAACCTACTTGTTGGGTTAACATCTTCACCCGATCATGTTATTCCTGGAAAATTTCAAAAAAAGACTGGACGTTCGCTTGCAAGGTATCTCTAACCCAACCAAAAACAATCATCAATAGAAGTTTCCAGGGTAGTTCCAACTCCAACGACGAACAAATCGAATGTTTGTGTACCCACTTATCCATTTTGGCCGGCTATGTATACAACAACCCAATTAAAATCGACAACGTCACCACAGAACCTGATTTCGAAATGGTACTACTCAACTCGTTCATCGTCTTTATTACCTTAAGCGCAATTGTCAGCCTCTACTGTCTATCAATCCTCCTAACCCCTTTTAAAAAAACACCCAAAACCAGCATCTTCCTCCCTGCTGACGTTTCCACGTCCGCTCGTTACGTCTACTTAGTTGCTATCCAAACCGGAAATAAACGATCATCCGGTACCACCTCAAACATCTGCATTAAACTCCTCGGTACCCAAAACCAAAGCGAAAGCCACGTTCTCAACTACCCAGACCCCCACAAAAAGATTTTTCGAAGAAACAACACCGACTGGTTCGTGGTACCAACAAGTCATCGTCTGGGTGAACTAACACAAGTTGCTTTATGGTCGGACTATTCTGGTCGGAATCCTAGTTGGTTTTGCACTGAAGTGACCGTCCACGACATGCAGAACAACCAAAAGTGGTACTTTGATGTCAATACGTGGTTCAATTTACCGCCACAGGGTCGCATTTACGTTGAGGTGCAAAGTACTGAAGAAACGAAAAAGCGTCGGGTACTGTTTCCAAGAGTGTGGCCGAAGCGGTACTAACTAAATTGAAATTATATTGTCGTTACGAATGTTTTTAGGAGCTACCAAAACGAGTTTGGTTCCTTCGTGAAAATGACTTTGTTGCTGTCGATTTTTGTGATGATGTTGGGGTACTGTGTGGTACTGAGTGGACTTCCGTCGTTAACTCTGAAGGACGGGTTTGCCAAATTCGAAAAATATAAATTTGACTGGAGTGTAGTATGGGTGGGGTTTGTAAGTGCCGTGGGTACTTTCGTGTTTCACGTGATAGTGGTGTGGTTGCTCAGGTTCCACGATTGTTAGTACTAAATTTAATCTAAATTTGTGTTTGTAGAAATGGTAACAAATTTCCAAAGCGAGTAACCACCATGATTTGGATTTTTGTAGCGACTAGTGTGACTATGTTAATCGCTGTTTTAACAATTTTCGGGTTTTGGGTACCAACAACCAACGGGTACTTGTGGCTGACGTCCGTCGCTGTAGCCACTATATTCTATTTTTTTATTCTGGAAAACTGTTACGAGCTTTGGTTAAACTTCCATAGCCGGAACAAACTAACCCGGCAGATGAATTTGACTAAATTGGTACTACCCATAGAAGCCCAAAGATCGCACGTATTTCGAAAATTTGGCGAATACGTTCTGCGACCGTATTTTACCCACTTGTACCGGCCACTGAGCGACGAAGACATCAAAGTACTTACTCCTTTGGTACGACCGTTTCAACCCTTTGACTTTCCAGGAAAAGCGACTAAGTACACAAATGAATAAAAGAATTCTGGCTCTCCTAGAAGACACAGTTATGTTCGCGTGTTACGTCACTCTTCTGTATTTAGCAATCTTCGCCTACAGGAACCACCTATCCACTAAGAACTACAACCAAATGAAAAGTCTGCTCTCCGGAGAACAAATTCGTACCGACGGGTACGACTCCATCACCTCCATTGATGAGTACTACGTGAATTGTTGTATTGCGTTACATATTCAAATTCCAGCATCTACCAGTACATCAACGGTACTCTAATCCCCACGCTACATGCGCACCAATGGTACGGAAAATTCGTGGTTCAAGAACCCGGAACCATGACCGACTTCCACAACAAGTTCCTCGGAGTGGTACGACTTCGTCAAAGACGGGTGGAACTACACCCGTGCGAAGACACCTCCATTGTTAATCAAAGTTGTCGCTCGGAATTCGGGTTTTCCCAAGAAAGCTACGTTTATTTTGGTCCTGAGTACAACGACTTGGCGCGGTTGGCTCACGTTTGGAATTATAGTACCGCCAGAGAAGCGGGACTTTCGGTTTATGTGGGCAAATTCGGGATTTACTACGGTGGCGGGTTTTTGACTCCGTTGGGTCGTACTAGGTTCAATTCCTTCGCCAATTTGTTCTACTTGAAGAATAACAGCTGGTTGGACTCGGCTACAAGTGTGGTACTGATTGAATTCTTAGCGTACAACGTCAACACCAATTTGTTCTCTTCGGTGAAGATCGTCTTGGAGAGGAGCGCCACTGGGTACACCCGAAGCAGACTCGATTTAGTTGTTTCTCAACTTTTGTTTATCAAGAATGAGGAAAGTCTTGGTGGATTGGTTATTTGGTTGTCGTTTGGTACCGTCGTTGGTATTTTCACGTTGAAGTTCTTGTCAAGACTCTGGAACGAGAAACTTTTCTTCTGGAAAGATTTATGGACTTTGGTTGATCTACTAATAGTTGGTTTAACATACGCGACTTTTTTTATGTATGTTCATAGAGCTGGGACCGTGAAGGAGTTCCTTGACAAACTCGAGACGGTGAAGAAAAATGAGTTCATTCAGTACTTCGAGTTAGTACGTGAAGATATAAGTTTTACTTTCGTTGCAGCCTTTCTGGTGTTTGTAGCTACTATCAGGTTATGGAAAACGTGCAGCTTTGCTACTATTTTCAAAGTTATGGAGCAAACTCTTGTGTTAGCCGTTGGTCCGATCCTCTTGGTACTAGTCTTCCACATGACCCTTCTGATAGCATTCACTCTCGGAGGGTACTTACTTTTCAACAACATTTCTCCAAATTTCAAAGACATTCGAGACTCTCTTGTCACTCTCATTCTTCTGATGCTCGGTTTGCAGAAAAATTTCAGTTTGAAAAACCTTCTTGAATCCAATCCTGACATCGGAAAATTTTTCTATGCTGCCTATATGCTCACGAATTTGTTCTTCTTGACGGTCTATATCTGTGTGATTATGATCCACTACTACGAAGCTCGACTCGTTTCAGGTGAAGAGTTCGCCAAAGTACTCCACTTCTTTTCAAAACAACTATCTTTCGTCAAAACTTCTGTCAAACTAGCTCTGGTACGACTCAAAGCTGGTAGTACCAGAACGCGTCAGTTGGTAACCCCAAAGTCAGACGATATTCGTTACGCTAACTGTATGACGTTATCGTCGAACAAGTTGCAACTGATGGTTTGCATAGCTCTCAAAGACTTGAAGACCATGAGACAAGAAGACAAGTTTGAACTGATGCAGAAGGTTGCCATTTCGTCACAGAACGTTGACAAGAATGACATATTCTATAGAATAGACGACGAAAGAGGCTCTAGAATCATTCATGACGATAAAATAAAAAGAGTGGCGGCAGCTGCTGAGATCGTTTTGACTTACGGGCAGAAGAAAAGGGAACGACGGAGAAAGAAGTACCGGAAGATAATGACGCACCACCTAATCAAGCTAGATTTTATCAGCCAAATTTTAGACACGATGCTTCACGTTTTGTCAAATATCGAAATCGAGTAATAAATAAAAGTACCACAAAACGCATAGTTTTATTTATCTTCGACATTAATATTCGAAACAATATGCAACACAGTGTTCAAAACGTCCAGAATATAGTTCAACTTCTTCAACTGGTTGTCAACGACTCTTCTATACTTCAACTCCTGTCGTTGCTTCTTCTTGGCGTCATAGTTCAAAATTAACTCAGCTACTAGTGCTATTTTTTCTAGTTTCCAGTCAGGTACTACTTTAATCACTCGTCCGCTTTTTTGTTTGATAAAAATTTCGTCGGTACTACCACCCATGTAACACTTGAGCACCCGTTTCATCAAGTCCGTTTTGTCTTCGACGCTCACCAATTTCTTCAGGTCGTACCAAGCGATACAACGCATCACTTCTAACACTTGAGACGACAAAATCGAACAGTCGGCGTATCGGAACTCGTTTTCTTTGGGTGTGACGGTGCGTTTTTTAGAGGTGGTACCACCTTTCAACCTGGCGAGAGTTACTCTCAAGGACGTCTTGTAGTACCCTAACTCTTTAACTACAAAGGATTGAAGGTTTTTGAAGTCGCTTCGTGCCAGAATGATTAGTTGGGCTTGGTAGTACCGCAGGATGATAATACATATGTAGAGGGTGTAGAACAAAAGATTGAGTGACAAGTAAGAAGTGAAAAAAATGTTTCCCAAAATGGGATTCGGTTGAGTTAGGTCTTGAACGTCGAATCGTGCTAGTTGACGGGTACTTAAACGCATTAGAGAGACTAGGCTTTCGGAAATGTCTTGGAAGTCGTCGGAGTGAGTACCGAAGATCACGTACCCCGATAAACCAAAGGCGAGTACTACGACCATGTGACAGAACAACATGGCCATGAAGGGTTGACCACACAGAATGAGAGTCTTCTCCATAATGCGAAAAATAGTACCGAATCGACACAACTTCCACAGTCTTATCGTGGAAATAAAAACTAAGAGAGCAGCCACCAAAGTAAAAATTTTTTCAACGTATAGTAGATGGAAATAGTTGATGAATTCGTTCTTCTTTGCTGTTTCTAGTCTGTCTAAGAACTCTTTAACTAAACCAGCACGTTGGATGAACAACACGAAACACCCATAACTCATCCCGATTATTACTAAGTCCACCAAAATCCACCAGTCTCGAAGTACCAGAAGCCGTCCCTTCCAAAACCTCGCCACTAGTTTCAAACTAAAAATCACTACTACTAGTGCAAACGAGCTAAAAATCACTAACTGAGCAAGACTGTCTTCATCACGAACGAAAAGCAACTGAACCGTGTTTATATCAACTTCAAGTTTGATAAAACCGGTGGCACTAACCTCAAAGATTACCCTCACTGCGTTAAACAAGTTCGAGTTGACGTTGTAGGTTAAGAACTCGACTAAAACTAGAGCTGTAGCGTTGTCAAGCCATTTGTTCTCCCACAGGTAGTTCACTCTCACGTATGAGTTATAAACAGTACGACCCAACGTGGCCACGAAACCATCGCTCGAGTAGTACCCGAATTTACCCACCACCACGTTAAAACCGACACCTTCCACTTCAGTATAGTTCCAAACGTGTGAATGCTGCGATAGCTCGTTGAACTCCCGTCGGAAACGTTCACGACTCTCGTCGGCAAACCAAAATTCGGTACGACAGTGGGTGAAGTTCATGAAAGACAACTGAGGTGGTACTTGACAAGAGGGAGTTTGGACTCGTTGTTGACGAAGTCTTGCAACTCCCAGAAACTTGCTATTGAAGTCTGCCATAGTTCCCGGTTCTTTGACGATGTACTTGGAGTACCACTGGGTGATGTGGAGGGTGGGTATTAAGGTGAAGTTGACGTAGTTGTAGACGCTGGAAGTTTGTGTTAGAGAGTGACGAGGGGTGAAGTTTGACGTACTCGTCGAGGGAGTGGATGGGCTGCTGGGGGTGGATTAGAGCATCCATTGCGTTATGGCTGGTCACGTCCATGGGGTTCTTGTGGGCGAAAATCGCCAAGTAGAGAAGTGTGACGTAACAAGTGAACATTATTGTGTCTTCTAGAAGAGCCAAAATCCTGTATCGGGTTTCTACGTGAAGCTTTTTTTCCTAGAAGTGTGAATTAGTACGACTTTGAAATTAAAATGGTGCCGTACTTGTATGTCTTCACGTGTCATCGGTCGATATAAACCTTCAAAGTAAGGTCTTAAGAGTTGTTTACCGAATTTTCTAAACAGGTACATTCTTTGGTCTCCAACGGCTTTAACAACTTTCGTTAGATGATCCATCCAGTTGGTACTTTTCGGCGACTTCTGGTACAAACTCCAAACCAACGAGTATATATTTCTCAGTACCACAAAATAAACCAGAAGGGCAGTCACGACCGACCAAAACCACAACCATCCCATGACGATGGGTAACCACCACCCGAGAACCACAAGTACCGCCGTACTTCCACAAATATTGACAATCAGCAACAACCGAGACACCATAGAGTTTTTTCTACGCTTCAATGTGTCAAAGAATGTGTCTATAAGTGTCTAAGTCTTACCTAAAAAGCAGACGCAATCCTACATGTATAACAAAAGTGAAAGCACCACTTCCAATTCCAAAGAAAACGATTTCTGGATACAGTTTCAAAGTTTCAAAGGTGGCAAAACCGTCACTCAAGACTAGCCGCGGCAACCCCCACAACACCAAACAAAACACAAAAATCATCACACAAACAGACAACCCGAACGTGATTTTCTCCAAAAAACTTAGCTCGTCTTGACGATCCCTGAAACTAGTACTCATTTCAAAATTGATATCTGTAATGACTTACCTTGTTGAAAAATTTCTCAACACTTTTTCAAACCGGGTTTTCTTTTCGTCGCTCGACACTTGTATCCTGACATAAATTTCGCCCTTTGGGGGTAAATCAAGCCACCGATTCACCCGAAAGTACCACCTTTGGTGGTCCTGCAAGTCGTAGACGACAACATTGGCACAGAACCACCGTGGGTGTCGACCGGAATGGTCTGACCATAAAGCGATTTCGGCTAGATTTCCCAGATGGGACGAAGTTAGTACCACGAAGTAGTCTTCGTTTCCGCGTTGGAAGATGCGTTTTTGGGGGTCGGGGTAGTTTAGGACGTGGGGTTGACTTTTGTGTTTGTGGCCGAAGAGTCGTAGACAAATATTGGAGGAAGTTCCGGATGAGAGTTTCCACCCGGTTCGTATTAGGACGAAATAGGCGTACCGGGAGGATCTTGAGATGTCTGACGGGATGTAGACGTTGATGGTTTTTCGGTGGTTGTGTCTGATGACTAGGGGTAATAGGAGACAGTAAAGTGTGAAGAGGGTGGTCACACAGATGAAAATTATGGGGGATGAAAGTAGTACCATTTGGAAATCGGGTTCTGTGGTGACTTGATCGAGTTTGATAGGGTTGTTGTAGATCACGCCTGCCAGAATTGATAAGTGGTTGCAGATGCATTCGATTTGGTCTCGATTTGAGTTAGCACTAGCCTAAAATAGTACCATTAGTGGTTGAAAAGTCAGACAGAACAGTACTTTGCAAGCAAACTCCCAAGTTATTTTGTCAGCGTTCCAGGAATAACAGGACTTGGTGTGGACACTAATTTGATAACTTTTCTAGAAATACATGTTCAGATTTGTTTTAAATCGATTATCAAATATCACCTTTGATAAAACCGAAACGTAGTGCCATCCGTCATAGTCGTGGTTATGTTCTTCATAAAATTGATCGTCGTCATTAACAGTTAGTCCTTTACTTTGAACAACCGTTTCTTCTGGTTTATCAAAATCTGTTATCAAAATCGTACAACCATCACACTGAAATCTGACGAAAAACGATTCGCCTTTTTTCACATCGACTTTCACCACTGACATTTTGCCCCCTTCAAAGTCACGAATCGCGAGATCTTGCTGGTGTTTAAAATCCAGAAGGACACGAAATGGTTTATCAAACTTTGTTAATTCTTCTTGGTTCCTGCGCAGCTGCACCAAAACCACGTTTGTATAAACTATCATTCCTGAAGGATTCCACCAAAACGGGTCCCTCTCCCAACAACAAACCATCACTTCGATCCCATCCATGACTTTGGTTAAATCAGAAGAAGCCCAGAAGGATGCCCCCTTGATGGTAACTGGTGTAGCGACAAGCTCCTCCCCAGTCAGTTTTGTAACCTGAACACTAACATTTTCACCGCCACTCACCACCGTGTCTTCACCTTCGACCACCGTCAACGCGATCATTTTCAACGTCGTCTGACAAATGTCAACATAGTTGATTGACGCTTCTTCGTACTTCTTCGCTTTTTCAGCAGATGTGTCATCTGCGTCGTAATTGTGGTACTCTTCGTCAATCACGGGAAGACTAACCAAAGGAAAGGGTGTCGTTATTTCAAACGCTAAAGTCCTTTTTTCTAAATTTTTGAAATTGGCTTTGGTGTCAGTCGCTCCACAGTTCATCAAAATCCTCGTGTTCTTTTTGATTTCGGACGCCATTTTTTTGGCGTAGTGTTTATTGTGGAGGTGCTTAAAGTCCACGCTTGCCCCTGTTTTGCACGCTTTGGTGGCTGCGGCACCTTGATACGGGTCAGAAGGGGCTGCAGGGTCGTACACCAGTCGGGACACCAAGGAATAGATTTGTTGGGCTTCGGTTTGTTTGGTTATTGGGGTTTCCACGAACGTCTTAAGAATCCCTTTTTTAAACTCTTTGTGTTCGTCGCTTGGTGTAAGTTCTTCGACCACACCACTGGCGATTTGGATGGCTTCTTCGATGGATTTCTGACGAACTAAATCGTCAACCTTGTGTATCCATTTCTGGATTTCGTCGTTTTCGTCGACACCTGGCGGTATGGCGGACGAAACCTAAAACAACAATCGAGACACTTCTAGAGAACTTACTTACGTCAGTTGTAAGCTTGTAGGTGTCAAAGTTAAAATCTTCGTCTTCGATCTTGACGAAAACATCTACGTCGACGGGTAGGTGGAACTTCAAGTCTTCGATTTTGTGACTTTTGGTTAATAGGATAGTTTGTCCGTTTTTGCTGGTGGACACTTCAAAAGTGGTACCCTGTCCGACGTACTCACAACTAACTGTGAAAAGAGTGTCAATGGCCACTCCCGACGATGGGTGGATTAAACAAGAGTCGATTTTAATCGAAGCGTGGACTTGTAAATCTTGTGCTGCTGTAACGTTGCTACCTACTAAATTCACGCTCACCCTGTAGGTAGTACCGGGTTGAAAAACCCCTTCTTTGACTATAAACTTGTCGGTGTTGCGTCCAAACTGTGTAGATTTGTCGTAGTTAATGTCAAAGTCGACACTCCACTCGTACGAAGTACTATTAATACCTTGACAATTTTCCAAACACTGAACTTTGAGGTACGTCAAGTGTTGACTTTGTGTTTTCGGTGGACAATTCTTCTCACACGTGATTGTTATTTTGGGTACTAAACTCTTGACGCGCACCGTTTGGTCCACACTTTCTTTCCAGTCACTCATTTCTTGGAGTTTGATTTTCAAAGTGAATACGTAAACGTGGCCTTCGATGGCATACTTCGCGGGTACTTTTAAAGTGTTACCTTTGTATTCCCGGCGACAGAAATCTTTGACGCTCCCTTCTACAAGCTCGCAGCTCCATTTATACTCCAGTCGTCCCGTTTCGTTCGGGATTCTGTCAATATCTATGGACTTAGTACCGTCCATGACGAAATCGTGGCCTTCGTCAACGCTGCGTTCAGTACCGCCTTTTATAACAGCCAACATTCCAGCTTTTTTCATTTCCAAGAAGCACTACAAAGATGTCGTAATTTGGAAGGAGTGGGAGTTTTGGTACTACTTTGGTTGTGATGGTTTTGGTATTGCCGTTGTCCCGAATTGTCGCCTCGACTGTGAAACTGTAAGTACCAGGCTGCAGAGAGTTAGGTGGTACGAAGTACACGTTTTCTTTGAGTTCTACGATTTGAGATCCTCGCGTCCATTGATAGATTACTTCTGTGTGTGAACAGTCGGATTCGTAGTGTGCTGTTAACGCTAAGTTATAATTCTGTGCGTACAAATCGGGATTGTCAGGGTCATCAGAGCTGGAATATTGTCACGACAATTAACAAACCAAATATAACTTACCAGTTTTCGATATAGAAGTCTTCTGTGCAGTCTTGGGTTTGAGACTCTAGAGGTGGTACCGAAACGACGAAAATGATCAAAATAAGGAGTGACATATCACTAATAAAATGACAACGTGACGTTTTACTTCCAGGTTTATCAAAACCCAAGTTGTGTCTATTGTAGGTGGTACCACTTTGTCAAAGCGAAGTAAGTTGCGTTTAAATAACTTTAGACTATTTTTTTATAATTTATTTCAAAAGTCAATTAAGTAAGGCAACATAAGGTACTCAGTTCCCGTCAGTCAAAACCACGTGCCTCCCCGCCACGTGACTCAGCAAAGCCGACCTCGTCTTCGCCCTATACTCGCACTTCCCACATTCAAACCACTGAATCTCCTCCGCCGCCGTATGCCTATACAGTACGTGCTTCCTCAGCCCGTCGGCCTTCTTCGCCCGATAACTACACTTCTCACACTCAAACCACTCAACCTCTTCGTCCGTCCTATGCCTCAGCATGTGCCTCACCAAATGGAACTTCCTCTTCGCCCTATACTCACACCGCGCACACTCGAACCACCGAATGTTCTCCTCTGATTCGTGCTTCGCGATCACGTGGTTCCGCAAAACGTGCCTCAGCTTCGACTTGTACTCGCAGAACTCGCACTGGAACCACTCGACGTGAGGCAAGTGCTTCAAAGTCACGTGCTTCTTCAAGACGTGCTTCATTTTGGACCTGTAGGGGCAACTGGGGCACGTGAACCACTCGACTTCGTCTGGGGGGGCGTGCTCGGAGCGCAGGTGGGCGGTGAGGCGAAACTTGACTTTGGTTTTGTAGTCGCAGTGGGGGCAGTGGAAGCCGTAGTCGGGGGTGTGCTTGCGGAGGAGGTGTCGGTTGATGACGTATTGTTCGGTGGATTTGTAGGGGCAGTGGGGGCAGTGCCGCCACTGGGTGGTGTATTGGGGGTGGTTTTTGGAGATGTGGATTCGGAGGCGGCTGGCGCGTTTGCCGTAGTAGGGGCAGTGGTCGCACTGGAATATTTTTAGGGGTTTGGGTTTTTTGGGGGTGGTGCAAGTGAGGCGGTGTTTGAGGTAGAGGAGGCGAGAAGAGGTGGGATAGTTGCACTTTTGGCACTTCAAAATGGCGGGCGTTGAGTGAAAATGGCGGAGGAAGTTTACGAGGAGGTTGGTTTGGAAGTTGCAGTGGCATTTATAGGGGTTTAGGTAGCTGGAGCAGCGAGGTGGTTTTGTTTCAGTAGGGATTTTATTTGGAAGACTTTGCATCGTTGGCACTTGTGTTTGTGGTTGGTGGTCTAAAAATGACGTTGTTGTGTTATTTTTCGGGTTAAAAGGAGTATCAATGATTTAAATACCTACAAAGAACGACTTTTATGTACACAGAATGTTGATAAACATGGAACTGGTGTAGAACCTTGGGAGGGATTATGACTGAAGGATTCCGGAGTGCGTTCACTAATATTTTGTTATGTTATGTTGGTATTTAAAATTATACGCACCACACGACATTAGTAGTTTGTTCACACTTAAAAATAAATTAACTTAAGTCGCAACTTTGTTAAGATTTATAATTTAAGTTTGACCTTGGCTCATTTCTCTACTTTGCTGTGTTTCTGAACGTGCCACGGTGACAACCACGTGTGAAACAAACAGCTGATTTAATAAAAACAACATGACATAACCTCACTTTCTCACTACCAATTTCAAAATTCAACTCATTAATGAAAATAGCAAAAGTTTTTAAAATAATACACAACTACTGGAAAAATATTCAGGCTTTTGTATAGTGATTTTATATTTAAGTAAATATTACTAAATCTGTATATGCAACCAGTTATACATGCATTTGTTTACTTTAAAAGCTTTAAAGCTTAAAAAGGAAGGAAACTGTCAATAGATTTGACATGAAATATAATTCATAACGATAAACTAGATTCGTTTTATTGTACCTGAGGTGAGAGGTATTATAGAAATAATTTGGACCAATTTATTTTGTTAACTTTATATTTATTGTCAGAATAACTCACAACTTAGACATTAGAAACTGAGACAATTTTATTTAAACGGAAACTTTGAAAAATTGAACAATTAAAAATCGAGAATTTGGAAAATTGAAAAACTGAAAAAACGAATGACTGCAAAACTGAAGAAACTGAAAATTGAAAAATTCTCAGCTTGAAAAATAGAAAAAACGAAAAATATAAAAATTGAGAAGCCGAAAAATTAAAAAAATTGCTAAATTGAAGAATCAAGAACCGAAAAATCGCAAAATTGTATTATACAATAAAATAACACTGACAAATATAAAATTTTAAAACTGAAAAATAAAAAAAAAGAATTGAAAAAACAAAAATTCACAAATTAAAAAGCGAGAAATCAAAACATCAAAAAATCGTCACATTATAAGATTAAAAATTCGAAAATCTGCAAAATTATAAAACTGAAAAATTGAAAAATTAAAACTGAACAATCTAAAACTTTAAAAATCGAAAAATTATAAAATATAATATGAATAAATGAAAAACTGAAAAAGTCGAAAAATCGAAAAACTAAAAGTCGAGAAACTGAAAAATCCAAAAATTAGACATTGGAAACTCAAAAAATTACAGGTCAAAAAACCGTAAAATCTAAACATTTCAAAGTAATCGAATAACTAAAAAAATCGAAATACAGAATAATTGGGAAAAGTCAGTAAACGGAAAAATTAAAAAATGAGAACTTGTATAATATTGTATAATAATTAAAAACTCAAAAAACTGAGAAATCGATAAATTGAAAAAAGCACCGAAGCTGAAAAATAGGTCAACTAAAAAAGACAAAAATAAGAAACGAAAAATAGGTCAACTGAAAAAGACCAAAATAAAAAACGAAAAATTAAAAAATTAAAAGTCGAGCAAATAACTTGTTGTGAAATTAAAAACTATTTTAAAAAAATGTGAAAAAATACATATGCAAACCTTGAAAAATCGAAAAATTAAAAATCCAAAAACTGAAAAATCCAAAAAATAAAAAAGACAAATTAAAAAACAAAAAATTGTACTGAAATATAGAAACGCTGAAAAATTCGACGTCGAAAAATTTAAAAATTAAAAACTGAGACGTCGAAAAATTAAAAATCGAGAAATTCGAAATTAAGAATCGAGAACTATAATTAGAAATGGAAAAATTATTGTGAAATTTAAAAAAAATGAAAATTGTAAAAATTTCATGTCAAAAAATTGGAGAAATCAAAAATTGAAAAATCGAAATACTGTGAAACTGAAAAATTAACAAATCCAAAAATTAAAAATTGAGTAATCGAAAAAATGAAAAACTGAAATTGAATAAATGAAAAATTGAAAAATTGCAAATCGGAAAACTGAAGAAACGAAAAATTGAAAATTTCCAAAGTTCAAAAATAAGCAAACTCGAAAAATTGCCAACCAAATCGAAAAGTATCAAAATAAAAATCGAAAAACTAAAAATCTAAAAACTGTAAAACTGAAAAATTAAATTTGAAAATCAAAAATTGAAGAATCGAAAAATTAAAAAAAAACATTGTAGAATTGGAAAATTGTAACTCGAGAAATTTAAAAAAATGGAAACTGAAAAGCCAAAAAATTGAGAAATCGAAAAATTAAAAAAAACTCCGACTCTGAAAAATGGGATAACTAAAACATCAAAAATTTAAAATTTGAAAAATTTAAAAAAATCAAAAAACTGAGAAATCGAAAAATTAAAAATCGGGAAATTGAAAATTAAGATTCGAGAAACTAAAAATTAGAAATGGAGAAATGATTGTGAAATTAAAAAAATGAAAATTGTAAAAATTTCATGTCAAAAAATTGTAGAAATCAAAAACTGAAAAATCGAAATAGGTACTGTGAAACTGAAAAATTAAAAAATCCAAAAATTAGAAATTGAATAATCGAAAAAATGAAAAATTGGAAATCGGAAAACCCAAAAATCGAAAAATTGAAAATTTCCAAAGTCAAAAATAAACAAACCCGAAAAATTGCCAGTCAAATCTAAAAACTAAAAATCTAAAAACTGTAAAACCGAAAAATTTAAACTTGAAAATCAAAAATTGAACACCCGAAAAATTAAAAAAAAAATTGTAGATTTGAAAATCTGGAACTTGAGAAATTAAAAAAAATGAAAATTGTGAAAACTTCATGTCAAAAAATTGAAGAAATTAAAAATTGAAAAACCGAAATATTGTGAAAATGAAAAATTAAAAACTCTAAAAACTCGAAAAAATAAAAATTGGAAAAATTGCAGAACTGAAAAATTGCAAACAGAGAAATTGAATAAACGAAAAATTGTAAAATTGAAAAATTGCGAGATCGTAAAACCGAAAAACTCAAAAATTAAAATTTGAAAAATCAAAAATTTTAAAATCATAAAATTGTGAAATCGAAAAATTTAAAAAAACACCGAAGCTGAACTGAAAAATCAAAAATTGAAAAATCAGAATATTAAAAAAGCAAAAAAAATCTAGGAACTGAAAAAGTCAAACATGAGAACGAAAAATTGTAATACTGAAACATCGATACACTGATAAATTCAAAATCGAAAAATTGTAAAATTCAAAATCGAAAAACTGAAAATCTAGAGAATGAAAAAGACAAATTACAAAACAAAAAATTGTAGTACTGAAATATCGAAACGCTGAAAAGTCGAAAAATTAAAAATCGGGAAATAGAAAATTAAGATTCGAGAAACTAAAAATTAGAAATGGAGAAATGATTGTGAAATTAAAACAAATGAAAATTGTAAATATTGAAAAGTTGCACATCGTTTGAAAACCCAAGAATCGAAAAATTGAAATTACGGATGCGGAAATTAATGTATGACTTGTTCTCTTGTACAAGTGGTGTACTGCAAGGTTCTGTCTTAGGTCCTTTATTACTTCCGATGTTTATTAAAGACATTGTTTCTCTCTAAATTGTTTATTGTACGCTCTTTTATTGTATTATAAATGAAAATCGTCTAAATATAATCGAAACGAAAAAATCAGTCTGTTCTACGTAACAAAGCATAAATAAAGCTTTCAAGAAAAGTTCAGTTTTCGTCACTCATATCACTTTACCCCTATTTTTGTCTAATTTGGTGACTCCCCATGTGCCTCACCAAATTCCCCTTCCGCTTCGCCCTATATCCGCACTCCCCACTCCCAAACCGCCTCGGCCTCTTGTGCCTCAACACCATGTGCCTCCTCAGCGCCTGCTTGACCTTGCACTTGAACGCGCAATTCGCACACTGAAACCACTGCACCGCCCCCGGGGGCGGGTGCTGGTTGAGCACGTGCGTCTTCAGGTGATACTTCAACTTGGACTTGTAGTCGCACTGGTCACAGTGAAACCCGTACTCCGAGCTGTGCTTGCACAGCACGTGCTTCTGAATGCGGTCCTTCTGCGTGGTCCTGTAAGAACACTGCTCACATTGCAGCCACTTGTCGCCGTCTTGGGGGTGCATGCAGCACACGTGCGTGCGCAGGTGGTCCTGGCGTTTGGCGCGGTAGACGCACAGTTCACATTGCAACCACTGGATTTGCCTGGCGGGGGTGTGTTTGGCGACGACGTGACGCTGGAGGGTTTGTTTGACGGTGGTTTTGTAGAAGCAGTGCTCACACTCGAACCAGAGTTTGGTTTTCTTTTTCTTGCAGTGGGTTTTATGGTGGAGGAAAATGAGGGAGGAGTGGCTGAAGGAGTTGCAGTTTTTGCAGTAGAAGATTCGGTGAGGGGGCGAGGAGTGGCTGAGGAGGTTGACGAGGAGGGTGGTTTGGAAGGCGCAGGGGCACTTGTAGGGTTCGAGGGGGGCGGCGCAGGTGGGTTTGGGGGTGGTGCTTTCCATTAGAGGGAGGAATCTGCTTTCGCAGGTGTGGAAGGTTAAGAAAGGTTGAGTGGTTTGGGGAGGGGGGGGTTGGGTTCATTGTGGCTGGAAATGAGATTCTGAGGGGTTGTTTGTGGCGAATAATCGAGTACTTACAGAAAAAGTTGGGTTTTTGGTGGTACTTGTCACTTTAGTTCTTGAAGTGGTGGGTACTGCTAAAGCAACAAGTATTAATAAGTAGGTCATGGATCATGTGTTGGGTACGTTCAGTAATATGTATGTTCATTATGACGTTTTAGGTTCAAACTGTGTGATAAACGTGATAATTAAAATCGTTATTAGTTAAAACATGTTTGTTAACCATTATAAGAATATAACCTCAATCTTATTTTATCTTACAATTACTCCTGTTAAGAAAAATCTTCAATGTGTGTATCAAAGTAAAATTATTAGTTTCATTTTGAATTTTGGCGCAAATTTCCTTTTAAACTTACCATTTGCTTAAGAAGTAGCTCTGAAAACAAAAAGTCATAGAACTGACACACAAAATAGTTGGGAAAAGAAAAAAAATCGAAAATAATGCTGAATAATGTGAAAAGAAGTCTACACATATTAAAACAAAAAGGCAAAATGTCAGCCCGCCCACCCGCGCACTTTTATTTGTAATGATTCTTTTTATTCGCTGTGAACCAAGGAGGCGGAGCTTAACTGCAAAATCGTTGTTTCTTTACAAACAATTAAAAACATGTTTTTGAGAATCGTGCTCTTCAAAGAATACTACGTACATTAAGAAAAAACAAACAAAATATAAACCCCGCCCACCCACCCCATCTCAATTGTGATGATTTTTTTATTCTTAGAAACTCAAAACACGTTTAGAATGGTACATTTTTTAAAGAAAATGTGGATTTTGCAATTAGGCTCCACCCCTAGGCCCGCCAACGAATGAAAACTGCATTAATATTTATACAGTTTATAAGACGATACTCAAAAACATATCTTAATTTCTTCTAGAAAAATAATAAGGATTTTGCAATTAAATTCCACTTCTTTGGCTCTTGACGATTAGAAAAAAATCATCACAATTGAGAGGGGCGAGTGGGCGGGGCTTATAATTTCCCTTTTTTCTTAATATCCGTAGTCGTCTTTCCAGAACAAGAAACTTAAAACATGCTTAAAGTGGTAAATTCTTCTAAAACAAATATGGATCTTGCAATTAAGCCCCACCCCTCGACCTGACAACGAATGAAAAATTCATAACAATTGAGAACTAAGATCGGAGCTTATATGGGTGTGGCCTAATCTTTAACTTTATTGTTTTCTTAATGTACAAGACATAGTATTCTTTGAACAACACGATATTCAAAAATTTGTTTTTAATTTCTTGTAGAAAAATAAGGATTTTGCAGTTAAGTTCCGCCTTTTTGACCAACGATGAATAAAAAAAATCATCACAATCGGGATGGGGTGGGTGGGCGGGGCTTATATTTTGCCTTTTTTTTTTCTTAATATACACAGCCATCTTTTCACAACAAGAAACTTAGAATATGGTTACGATGGTACATTTTTGCAAGGAAATATGAATTTTGTAATTATCGGGCGGAGCTTAATTGGAAAACCAATATTTCTTTATACATCTTTTCTACTTTAAAGATGTTTTAAGTTTCATTAAAAGAAGTTTATACATATTAAAACACAAAGGCAAAATGTATATCCGCCCACCCGCCCTATCTCAATAGTGATGATTTATTTACCGTGAACCAACGGGGCAGAGCTTAACTGAAAAATACTTATTTCCTTCCAAGAAATTAAAAACATGTTTTTGAGTATCGTGTTGTATAAAAATACTATGTAGATTAAGAGAAAAAGGCAAAATATAAACCCCGCCCACCCACCCCATCCCAATTGTGATGATTGAGTTTGACGAAATTAGTGAGAATAACGAAACCTCTGCAAGTGACTGTGATACCGTTACCAAAGTAGAATAGAAAAATACAAGTAGAATTAGACTATAAGGACATAATGACTGATGCTAATATTTTATCAAATAATGTACTAAATGAGACTACACAACCAAGTGATAATGATACCGTCTTAAAAGATACTGCAACTCCTGAAATTGTATTAAGTGAGAGTAGTGAGACGATAACAAAGGAAAGGACAGTTTTAGACAATATTGCAAAAACAAATAAGACAAACGATGAAGAAATTATGGATAATCAGTGTTGACATCTGACAAAGGGGTTTTTCTATCGTCAAGCTCTTTCAGCTAGTTCATACTTTACTTTTAATGTCTATGAAAATTGATAATTTTTATGCACTAGGTGCTGAGTTGAAACTCGGTATATGCAATAATGATAAAAATGTATTATTTTTATGATAATAGTCAAAATAGGTTCGACCTCCAAGTATTACTGCACACATACAACTTACTCATAATTCTGGGGCGGAGCCTAATTGCAAAATCGATATTTCCTTATACAAATTTTCCATTTGTCTACAGATATTACAACAAAAGGCAAAATGTAAGCCCACCCACCAGCCCGATCTCAATTGTGATGATTTTTTTTATTCGCCGTAAATCAAGGAGGCGGAGCTTAACTACAAAGTACTTATTTCTTTACAAGAAATTAACAACTTGTTTGTGAGTATCGTGTTTTTCAAACAATACTGTGTAGATTAAGGAATAATGGCAAAATATAAACCCCGCCCACCCGCCCCATCTCAATTGTGAAAAGAAGAAAAGAAGTTTACATATATTAAAACACAAAGGCAAAATGTACGAACATTAAGACTCAAAAAAAATCAGGAAAAAAGAACGAATGCCATCAGTGTTGACATTTGATAAATGGGTAGAAATAGGTGAAAGAAAAGAAAATTGAAAGGAAGAAGCTGTGAAACAAAAAGAAGAAAGAAGACGAAAAAAGGAGGAAAGAAAATAACTCATTGCTTCTCAGCAGACAGCAACAAAAAAAAAAGAAAATGATCAGAAAATTTCGAAAAAAGTAAGAAAGTTCCTAGAAGAAATGACTCAGAACAGATAGATGAAACAGAACAATACCTTACCATGAAGACAGTAGTGCCAAATGTCAATGGCAATATCTTTGACATATCCTAAATCTCGCTTAGATTTTATGTCAGTTTTTAAAAGTCCAAGTCAGTCCATTACAAGCAAGTATGCAACCAACTTAACATTAATTATCCTCTGTTCAGAGAAAAAAACGGAAAAAAGCGGGATCAACTGGAAATGGCCAGATAAAAAAGACGAATTATTCTACGCAATGGAAGAGATACGAAAAATAATTAATATGTCAAAAAAGAAAAATACCAAAGGCGCTCTTTCTGTTCCAGAAATAGAAAAATATATTGAATACATCTAATTTGTACTAGTTTTATACTAAAATTATTGTTTTTTATTTGTTTAAAAAATTGTATATGAATGTTTTCTTTCAATAAATAATTCAAATGTGTTTGTACAATTTTTTTCACATTGTACAGTGGTTATGTGGTATTTAAAATTGCTCTACTATGTTTCTGAACGTGTCACGGTGACAACCACGTGTGAAACAACAGCTGATTTTAATAAAAACAACGTGACATAACTTCACTTGCTCACTACCAATTTAAAAGTTCAACTCGTAATGAAAAAAGCAAAAGTTTTTCAAATAATTCTCAACTGCTGGAAAAATATTCAGGCTTTTGTATAGTTATACATGCCTTTGTTTATCTTTAAAAGCTTTAAAGCTTAAAAATCGAAGGAAACTATCAATATAAATGAAATGAGACATAACTAATAATGATAAACTAGATTTATTTTATTCTACCTCAGGTGAGAGGGAGGTATTATAGAAATAAGTTTAGACGAATTTATTAACTTTATATTTATTGTCAGAATAACTAACAACTTATTAGTCATTAGAAATTGCGGTCGATGTTTTCCGGTAGTTTTTTGGAAAACTCGTTGCACAAATGACCCTTACATATGCCGCACTTCATTCCCTTGTCCTTGTACGGTTGGCAGACACGGCTTACGCCATTATTACATTTGGCGAACTTTTTTTCGTCCGTTCCATAGAGGACGCACATTGGATCATCCTTTATGCACTCGACTTCTTTCATTTGGTCTTGGCTAGTGCAAGCACTGTTTTTGTCGTCATCGTTGCCACAGCTGTAGCACTTACCTTTTGCGCTCTCCCCTGAAAAATCAAACACATTTTGAAAACTTCAATTTGGAATTTTTACTTACCTTGAAGAGCTGCGCAAAAGACCAAAGCGGCAATCAGAAGAAGCTTCATTTCGACTGGAGAGAAATTCTTGCATGGCGTGTTATATAGGCGGCGTTATCAGGCTATTAAAAAAAAAGGAGTCAGGTGAGTACTGTTTGCATTTTTATGTGTTTTTCTTTTGCTAATAACAGCGTCAAGCTTTTTACCACTAGTTCATAGTTAAATATTCTTAATGAAGTGGTACTTTCTATGCACAAGGTACAGTGATAAGTTCCTCGGTGCATGCAATTATGATAAAAGTTTTTTTTTTTGCGATAATACTCAAAATTGGCTCGACCTCCAATTCTCAGTGCATACATTTAAATAAGTTACTCATAATAATAGTAACGAAATAGAATTTTGTAAAATTTTCCAAGAAAATAAATTTAAACATTTGCCGGTTGAACACTGACAAACTTAAAAAATTTTAAAACAAAAATCGAAAAATTAAAAAAAAAGGAATTGAAAAAACAAAAATTGTAAAATTGAAAAATTATTCAACATTCACAAATTAAAAACCGAGAAATCAAAACATCAAAAAATTGTCACATTATAAGATTAAAAAATCGAAAAAATGCAAAATTATGAAACTTTAAAGATCGAAAAATTATAAAATATAATATGAATAAATGAAAAACTGAAAAAGTCGAAAAAACGAAAAACTAAAAGTCGAGAAACTGAAAAATCCAAAAATTAAACACTGAATACTCAAAAAATTACAGGTCAAAAAAACGTAAAATCTAAACATTTCAAACTAATCGAATAACTAAAAAAATCGAGATACAGAATAATTAAGAAAAGTCAGTAAACGGAAAAATTAAAAAATGAGAACTTGTATAATATTGTATAATAATTAAAAACTCAAAAAACTGAGAAATCGATAAATTGAAAAAAGCACCGAAGCGGAAAAATAGGTCAACTAAAAAAGACAAAAATAAGAAACGAAAAATTGTAGAATCGAAAAATTGAAAAATTAAAAGTCGAGCAAATGAAAACTTGTTGTGAAATTAAAAAATATACCAAAAAAATGTGAAAAAATACATATGCAAACCTTGAAAAATCGAAAAATTAAAAATCCAAAAACTGAAAAATCTAGAAAATGAAAAAGACAAATTAAAAAACAAAAAATTGTTGTACTGAAATATCGAAAAATTGAAAAATTAAAAACAGGGACGTCGAAAAATTAAAAAACGAGAAATTGGAAATTAAAAATCGAAAACTAAAGTAAGAAATGGAAAAATTATTGTGAAATTTAAATAAAAAGAAAATTGTAAAAATTTCATATCAAAAAATTGGAGAAATCAAAAACTGAAAACTCGAAATACTGTGAAACTGAAAAATTAACAAATCCAAAAATTAAAAATGGAATAATCGAAAAAATGACTGAAAAATGGGATAATATAACATCAAAAATTGAAATTTGAAAAATTAAAAAACAAAAAATTCTATATGTAATTAAAAAATCCAAAAACTGAGAAATCGATAAATTGAAAAAAGCACCGAAGCTGAAAACTAGGTCAACTGAAAAATCAAAAATTGAAAAATCAGAATATTAAAAAACCAAAAAAAATGTAGGAATTGAAAAAGTCAAAAATGAGAAACGAAAAATTGTAGTACTGAAAATTCAAAATCGAAAAATTGAAAAAATAAAAATCGAAAAACTGAATAATAATTAGAAAATGAAAATGACAAATTACAAAACAAAAAATTGTAGTACTGAAATATGGAAGCGCTGAAAAATTCGAAGTCGAAAAATTAAAAATCGGAAAGTTGAAAATTAAGATTTGAGAAAGTAAAAATTAGAAATGGAGAAATTATTATGAAATTTAAAAAAATGAAAGTTGTAAACATTGAAAAATTGCAAATCGGAAAACCCAAGAATCGAAAAATTGAAAATTTCCGAAGTTCAAAAATAAACAAACTCGAAAAACTGCCAATCAAATCGAAAAGTTTCAAAACAAAAATCGAAAAACTAGAAATCTAAAAACTGTAAAAGTGAAAAATTAAAATTTAAAAATCAAAAATTGAACAATTGAGAAATTAAAAAAAAATGAGAACTGAAAACTTCATGTCAAAAAATTGAAGAAATTAAAAATTGAAAACCCGAAATATTGTAAAAATGAAAAATTAAAAACTCCAAAAATTCGAAAAAATGAAAATTAGAAAAATTGCAGAACTGAAAAATTGCAAATAGAGAAATCGAATAAACGAAAAATTGTAAAATCGAAAAATGGCGAGATTGTAAAACTGAAAAACTCAAAAATTAAAATTTGAAAAATCAAAAATTTAAAAATCAAAAAATTGAGAAATCGAAAAATTAAAAAAACACCGAAACTAAAAAATAGGATAACTAAAACAACAAAAATTGAAAATTTGAAAAATTAAAAACAAAAAATTGTATAATTAAAAAATAAAAAAACTAAGGAATCGATAAATTGAAAAAACCACCGAAGCTGAACTGAAAAATCAAAAACTGAAAAATCAGAATATTAAAAACGAAAAAAAAATCTAGAAATTGAAAAAGTCAAAAATGAGAAACCAAAAATTATAAAGTCGAAATATTGTAGTATCGAAACATCGATACACTGATAAATTCAAAATCAAAAAATTGAAAATTTCAAAATCGAAAAACTGAAAAATCTAGAAAATGAAAAAGACAAATTACAAACAAAAAATTGTAGTACTGAAATATCAAAACGCTGAAAAATTGGAAGTCGAAAAGTTAAAAATCGGGAAATTGAAAATTAAGATTCGAGAAACTAAAAATTAGAAATGAAGAAATGATTGTGAAATTTAAAAAAATGAAAATTGTAGATATTGAAAAGTTGCAAATCGTTTGAGAACCCAAGAATCGAAAAATTGAAAATTTCCAAAGTTCAAAAATAAACAAACTCGAAAAATTGCCAGTCAAATCGAAAAGTTTCAAAACAAAAATCGAAAAACTAGAAATCTAAAAACTGTAAAAGCGAAAAATTAAAATTTAAAAATCAAAAATTGAACAAATGAAAAATTAAAAAAAATTCAATTGTAGAATTGAAAATCTGTAACTTGAGAAATTAAAAAAAATATGAAAATTGTGAAAACTTCATGTCAAAAAATTGAAGAAATTAAAAATTAAAAAACCGAAATATTGTAAAATGAAAAATTAAAAACTCCAAAAACTCGAAAAATTGAAGAACTGAAAAATTGCAAATAGAGAAATTGAATAAACGAAAAATTGTAAAATTGAAAAATTGCGAGATCGTTAAACCGAAAAACTCAAAAATTAAAATTTGAAAAATCAAAAATTTTAAAATCAAAAAATTGAAAAATCGAAAAATTAAAAAAACCACCGAAGCTAAAAAATAGGATAACTAAAACAACAAAAATTGAAAATTTGAAAAATTAAAAAACAAAAAATTGTATAATTAAAAAATCAAAAAACTAAGAAATCGATAAATTGAAAAAACCACCGAAGCTGAACTGAAAAATCAGAATATTAAAAAACCAAAAAAAACCTAGGAATTGAAAAAGTCAAAAATGAGAAACGAAAAATTGGAAAGTCGAAATATTGTAGTACTGAAACATCGATACACTGATAAATTCAAAATCAAAAAATTATAAAATTCAAAATCGAAAAACTGAAAAATCTAGAAAATGAAAAAGACAAATTACAAAACAAAAAATTGTAGTATTGAAATATGGAAAAGCTGAAAAAATCGAAGTCGAAAAATTAAAAATCGGAAAGTTGAAAATTAAGATTTGAGAAAGTAAAAATTAGAAATGGGGAAATGATTATTAAATTTAAAAAAATGAAAATTGTAAATATTGAAAAATTGCAAATCGGAAAACCCAAGAATCGAAAAATTGAAAATTTCCGAAGTTCAAAAATAAACAAACTCGAAAAATTGCCAGTCAAATCGAAAAGTTTCAAAACAAAAATCGAAAAACTAGAAATCTAAAAACTGTAAAAGTGAAAAATTAAAATTTAAAAATCAAAAATTGAACAATTGAAAAATAAAAAAAAAAATCTGTTGTAGAATTGAAAATCTGTAACTTCAGAAATTAAAAAAAAATGAAAATTGTGAAAATTTCATGTCAAAAAATCAAAAAATTGAAAATTTGAAAAATTAAAAAACAAAAAATTGTATAATTAAAAAATCAAAAAACTAAGAAATTGATAAATTGAAAAAACCACCAAAGCTGAACTGAAAAATCAAAAATTGAAAAATCAGAATATTAAAAAACCAAAAAAAGATCTAAGAATTGAAAAAGTCAAAAATGAGAAACGAAAAATTGTAAAGTCGAAAAATTGTAATACTGAAACATCGATACACTGATAAATTACAAATCGAAAAATTGAAAAATTAAAAATTGTAGTACTGAAATATCGAAACGCTGAAAAGTTCGAAGTCGAAAAGTTAAAAATCAGGAAATTGAAAATTAAGATTCGAGAAACTAAAAATTAGAAATGAAGAAATGATTGTGAAATTAAAAAAAATGAAAATTGTAAATATTGAAAAGTTGCAAATCGTTTGAGAACCCAAGAATCGAAAAACTGAAAATTTCCAAAGTTCAAAAATAAACAAACTCGAAAAATTGCCAGTCAAATCGAAAAGTTTCAAAACAAAAATCGAAAAACTAGAAATCTCAAAACTGTAAAAGTGAAAAATTAAAATTTAAAAATAAAAAATTGAACAACTGAAAAATTAAAAAAAAATTCAATTGTAGAATTGAAAATCTGTAACTTGAGAAATTAAAAAAAAAAATGAAGATTGTGAAAACTTCATGTCAAAAAATCGAAGAAACTAAAAATTGAAAAACCGAAATATTGTGAAAATGAAAAATTAAAAACTCCAAAAACTCGAAAAAACGAAAAATTGTAAAATTGAAAAATTGCGAGATTGTAAAACTGAAAAACTCAAAAATTAAAATTTGAAAAATGAAAAATTTAAAAATCAAAAAATTGTTGATTTGAATAATTGTAACTCGAGAAATTAAATAAATGGAAATTGAAAAACCAAAAAATGGAGAAATCGAAAATTTTTAAAAAGCATCGAAGCTGAAAAATGGGGTAACTGAAACATCAAAAACTGAAAAATTGAAAAATTAAACAAAAAAAAACTGGAAATTGAAAGACAAAATAAGAAAGGAAAAATCGTAGTACTGAAGCATCGAAACACTGATAAATTCAAAATCGAAAAATTGAAAAATTAAAAATTGAGAAAACGAAAAATTAAAAATCGAGGAAAGAAAACTTGTTCTGAAATTAAAAAAATATACAAAAACTGTAAAAAAATACAAATTGAAAAGTTGAAAAATCGATAAGTGAAAGAATCTAGAAAATGAAAAAGATAAATCAAAAAACGAAAAATTGTTAACCGAAAAACTTAGGTACTGAAATATCAGAACACTCATAAAAAGTCGAAAAACTAAAAATTAAAAATGGAGAAATCATTGTTGTGAAATTAAAAAAAAAACGTAAAAACCACACATCAAAAAATTGATGATTGGTTAAGAGAGGTTGAGTGGACTACTGGAAAAATATTCAACAGATATTATTATTGTTAAGTTAGATTAAATGCGTGTATGCAACCAGTTATACACGCGTTTGTTTATCTTTAAAAGCTTTAAAGCTGAAAAACGGAAGGTAACTGTCAATAGAAATGAAATGAAACATAACTGATACTGATAAACTAGATTCATTTTAATGTACCTCAGGTGAGAGGGAGGTATTATAGAAATAATTTAGACTAGAGATGTACCGACTGTAGGTCTGGCCGACTAACCGACTAGCCGATTGTTCGGCCAGTAAAAACCGACTAGTCGGCCGACTGTTCGGCTTTGCTAAAACCGATTTATAAATGCGACAGACAGTGTGTTTTTTTTCTATTTCTCTGACTACCTTAAAAATTTGTTTTATTTTAATAAAAGGAATAACTAAAGTTCCTTTGTTTTCCAAAAAATGTGTTAAATTTGTTTGCAGACACCTTTTACGCCATTCTTACATTTGCCGAACCTTTTTTCGTCCGTTCCATAAGAGGACGCATGTTGCACCACCCTTGGTGCACTCAACTTCTTTCATTTGGTCTTGGCTGGTTCAACCACTGTTTTCGTCGTCATCGTTGCCACAGCTGTAGCACTTACCTTTTGCGCTCTCCGCTGAAAAATCAAACACATTTTGAAAACTTCAATTTGGAATTTTTGCTTACCTTGGAGAGCTGCGCAAAAGACCAAAGCGGCAATCAGAAGAAGCTTCATTTCGACTGGAAAGAAATTCTTGCATGGCGTGTTATATAGGCGGCGTTATCAGGTTATTAAAAAAAAAGGAGTCAGGTGAGTACTGTAATTGCATTTTTATCTGTTTTTACCACTAGTTCATAGTTAAATGTTTTTAATGAAGTGGTACTTTCTATGCACAAGGTGCAGTGTTAAGTTCCTCGGTGCATGCAATTATGATAAAAGTATATTTTTTTGCGATAATACTCAAAATTGGTTCGACCTCCAATTGTAACTGCGTACATATAAAGAAGTTATTCATAATAATAATAACGACGTAGAATTTTGCAAAATTTTCCAAGAAAATAAATTGTCGGTTTTTAATTTTTCACTTCCGCGATTCTTGATTTTTCAGCTTTTCAAAAAAAATAACAATTTTATTTAAACGGAAACTTTGAAAAATTGAACAATTAAAAATGGAGAATTTGGAAAATTGAAAAACTGAAAAAAGGAATGACTGCAAAACTGAAGAAACTGAAAACTGAAAAATTCTCAGCTTGAAAGATTGAAAAAAACGAAAAATATAGAAATTGAAAAATCGAAGAAATGAAAAACTGAAGTTCAAAAATAAATAAACCCGAAATATTGCCAGTCAAACCGAAAAGTTTCAAAATACAAAGCGAAAAACTAAAAATCTAAAAACTGTAAAACTGAAATAAAAATTTGAAAATCAAAATTGAAGAATCGAAAAATAAAAAAAAAAACATTGTAGAATTGGAAAATTGTAACTCGAGAGATTAAATAAATGGAAACTAAAAAGTCAAAAAATTGAGAAATCGATAAATTGAAAAAACCACCGAAGCTGAAACATAGGCCAACTGAAAAATCAAAAATTGAAAAATCAAGATATTAAAAAACCAAAAAAATCTAGGAATTGAAAAAGTCATAAATGAGAAACGAAAAATTGTAAAGTCGAAAAATTGTAGTACTGAAACATCGATACACTGATAAATTCAAAATCGAAAAATTGAAAAATTAAAAACCGGAAAACTGAAAAATCTACAAAATGAAAAAGACAAATTACAAAACAAAAAATTGTAGTACTGAAATATCGAAACGCTGAAAAATTCGAAGTCGAAAAATTAAAAATCGGGAAACTGAAAATTAAGATTCTTGAAACTAAAAATTAGAAATGGAGATATTTAAAAAAAAATGAAAATTGTAGATATTGAAAAGTTGCAAATCGGAAAACCCAAAAATCGAAAAATTCAAAAATAAACAAACTCGAAAAATTGCCAGTCAAATCGAAAAGTTTCAAAACAAAAATCGAAAAACTAGAAATCTAAAAACTCTAAAAGTAAAAAATTAAAATTTAAAAATCAAAAATGGAACAATTGAAAAATAAAAAAAATTCAAAAACTCGAAAAAATGAAAATTCGAAAAATTGCAAAACAGAAATTGCAAATAGAGAAATTGAATAAACGAAAAATTGTAAAATTGAAAAATTGCGAGATTGTAAAACTGAAAAACTCAAAAATTAAAATTTGAAAAATCAAAAACTGAACAATCAAAAAATTTAAAAACCAAAAAATTGTAACTCTACTACTCTACTCTCTGTAAAAATTAAAAAATTAAAAAATCTAGAAATTGAAAAAGACAAAATAACAAAGGAACAACTGAAGTACTGAAGCATCGAAACACCGATACATTGAAAAAAATTGAGAAGTCGGAAAATTAAAAATCGAGAAAAGAAAACTTGTTCTGAAATTAAAAAATACACAAAAACTCTAAAAAAAATATAAATTAAAAAGTTGAAAAATCGAAAAACTGAAAAATCTAGAAAATGAAAAAGGCAACAAAAAATTGTAAAACCGAAAAACTGTAGTACTGAAATATCGAAACACTCATGAAAAGTCGAAAAACTAAAAATTAAAAATGGAGAAATTAAAAATTGATTGATCGAAAAAATGAAAAATCGATAAATTACAGAAATGAAAAATTACAGAAATAGATAAATTGAGACTGAATAAATTCGACGTGGATGTGCTTTGTGATTAGTCAGTACGGATGCGGAAATTAATGTATGACTTGTTCTCTTGTACAAGTGGTGTACTGCAAGGTTCTGTCTTAGGTCCTTTTATTACTTCCAATGTTTATTAAAGACATTGTTTCTCTCTAAATTGTTTATTGTCCGCTCTTTTATTGTATTATAAATAAAAATCATATAAATATAATCGAAACGAAAATATCAGTCTGTTCTACGTAACAAAGCATAAATAAATCTTTCAAGAAAAGTTCAATTTTCGTCATTCATATTATTCTACGTTTTTTATTTTTGTCTAATTTTATGGCTCCCCATGTGCCTCACCAAATTCCCCTCCCGCTTCGCCCTATACCCGCACTCCCCACACCCCAACCGCCTCGGCCTCTTATGCCTCAGCACCATGTGCCTCCTCAACGCTTGCTTGACCTTGCACTTGAACGCGCAATTCGCACACTGAAACCACTGCACCGCCCCCGGGGGCGGGTGCTGGTTGAGCACGTGCGTCTTCAGGTGATACTTCAACTTGGACTTGTACTCGCACTGGTCACAGTGAAACCCGTACTCCGAACTGTGCTTGCACAGCACGTGCTTCTGGATGCGGTCCTTCTGCGTGGTCCTGTACGGACACTGCTCACATTGAAGCCACTTGTCGCCGTCTTGGGGGTGCATGCAGCGCACATGCGTGCGCAGGTGGTCCTTGCGTTTGGCGCGGTAGACGCACAGTTCACATTGCAACCACTGGATTTGCCTGGCGGGGGTGTGTTTGGCGACGACGTGACGCTGGAGGGTTTGTTTGACGGTGGTTTTGTAGAAGCAGTGCTCACACTCGAACCAGAGTTTGGTGGTTTTCTTTTTATTGCAGTGGGTTTTGTGGTGGAGGAAGATGATGGAGGAGTAGCTGAAGGAGTTGCAGTTTTTGCAGTAGAAGATTCGATGAGGGGGCGAGGAGTGAGTGAGGAGGTTGACGAGGAGGGTGGTTTGGAAGGCGCAGGGGCACTTGTAGGGTTCTAGGGGGGCGGCGCAGGTGGGTTTGGGGGTGGTGCTTTCCATTAGAGGGAGGGATCTGGTTTCGCAGGTGTGGAAGGTTAAGAGAGGTTGAGTGGTTTGGGGAGGAGGGGTTGGGTTCATTGTGGCTGGAAATGAGATTCTGAGGGGTTGTTTGTGGCGAATAATCGAGTACTTACAGAAAAAGTTGGGTTTTTGGTGGTACTTGTCACTTTAGTTCTTGAAGTGGTGGGTACTGCTAAAGCAACAAGTATTAATAAGTAGGTCATGGATCATGTGTTGGGTACGTTCAGTAATATTTATGTTCATTATGACGTTTTAGGTTCAAACTGTGTGATAAACGTGATAATTAAAATCGTTATTAGTTACAACATGTTTGTCAACCATTATAAGAATATAACCTCAATCTTATTTTATATTACAATTACTCCTGTTAAGAAAAATCTTCAATGTGTGTGTCAAAGTAAAGTTATTAGTTTCATTTTGAATTTTGGCGCAAATTTCCTTTTAAACTTACCATTTGCTTAAGAAGTAGCTCTGAAAACAAAAAGTCATAGAAATGACACTCAAAATAGTTGGGAAAAGAAAAAAAATCGAAAATAATGCTGAATAATGTGAAAAGAAGTCTACACATATTAAAACAAAAAGGCAAAATGTCAGCCCGCCCACCCGCCCACTTTCATTTGTAATGATTCTTTTTATTCGCTGTGAACCAAGGAGGCGGAGCTTAACTGCAAAATCGTTGTTTCTTTACAAACAATTAAAAACATGTTTTTGAGAATCGTGTTGTTCAAAGAATACTACGTACATTAAGAAAAAACAAACAAAATATAAACCCCGCCCGCCCACCCCATCCCAATTGTGATGATTTTTTTATTCTTAGAAACTCAAAACACGTTTAGAATGGTAAATTTTTGTAAGGAAATGTGGATTTTGCAATTAGGCTCCACCCCTAGCCCTGCCAACGAATGAAAACTGCATTAATATTTACACAGTTTATAAGACGATACTCAAAAACATATCTTACATGGTAATTTCTTCTAGAAAAATAATAAGAATTTTGCAATTAAATTCCGCTCCTTTGGCTCCTGACGATTAGAAAAAAATCATCACAATTGAGACGGGGCGGGTGGGCGGGGCTTATAATTTCCCTTTTTTCTTAATATCCGTAGTCGTCTTTCCAGAACAAGAAACTTAAAACATGTTTAAAATGGTAAATTCTTGTAGACGAATATGGATCTTGCAATTAAGCCCCACCCCTCGACCTGACAACGAATGAAAAATTCATAACAATTGAGAACTAAGATCGGGGCGGGTATGGGTGGGGCCTAATCTTTAGCTTTATTGTTTTCTTAATGTACAATACATAGTATTCTTTGTACAATACAATACTCAAAAATATGTTTTTGATTTCTTGTAGAAAAATAAGGATTTTGCAGATAATTTCCGCCTTCTAGGCTCACGATGAATAAAAAAATCATCACAATTGAGATAGGGTGGGTGGGCGGGGCTTATATTTTGCCTTTTTTCTTAATATAAGTAGTCGTCTTTTCAGAACAAGAAACTTAAAACATGTTTAAATTGGTAAATTCTTGTAGACAAATATGGATCTTGCAATTAAGCCCCACCCCTCGACGTGACAACGAATGAAAAATTCATAACAATTGAGAACTAAGATCGGGGCTTATATGGGTGGGGCCTAATCTTTAGCTTTATTGTTTTCTTAATGTACAATGCATAGTATTCTTTGAACAACACGATATTCAAAAATTTGTTTTTAATTTCTTATAGAAAAATAAGGATTTTGCAGTTAAGTTCCGCCTTCTTGACCAACGATGAATAAAAAAAATCATCACAATCGGGATGGGGTGGGTGGGCGGGGCTTATATTTTGTTTTTTTTTTTTCTTAATATACACAGCCATCTTTTCACAACAAGAAACTTAGAATATGGTTAAGATGGTACATTTTTGCAAGGAAATATGGATTTTGTAATTATGGGGCGGAGCCTAATTGCAAAACCGATATTTCCTTATACATATTTTCTACTTTAAAGATGTTTTAAATTTTATTAAAAGAAGTTTACACAACTTAATAAACAAATGAAAAGTGTAGCCCCGCCCGCGCACCCTATCTCAATTGATGATTTTTTTTATTCACCGTGAACCAACGGGGCAGAGCTTAACTGCAAAATACTTATTTCCTTCCAAGAAATTAAAAATATGTTTTTGAGTATCGTGTTGTATAAAAATACTATGTACATTAAGAGAAAAAGGCAAAATATAAACCCCGCCCACCCACCCCATCCCGATTGTGATGATTGAGTTTAACGAAATTAGTGAGAATAACGAAACCTCTGCAAGTAACTGTGATACCGTTACCAAAGTAGAATAGAAAAATACAAGTAGAATTAGACTATAAGGACATAATGACTGATGCTAATATTTTATCAAATAATGTACTAAATGAGACTACACACCCAAGTGATAATGATACCGTCTTAAAAGATACTGCAACTCCTGAAATTGTATTAAGTGAGAGTACTGAGACGATAACAAAGGAAAGGACAGTTTTAGAAAATATTGCAAAAATAAATAAGACAAACGAAGAAGAAATTACGGATAATCAGTGTCGACATCTGACAAAGGGGTTTTTCTATCGTCAACCTCTTTCAGCTAGTTCATACTTAACTTTTAATGTCTATGAAAATTGATAATTTTTATGCACTAGGTGCTAAGTTGAAACTCGGTATATGCAATAATGATAAAAATGTATTATTTTTGTGATAATAGTCAAAATAGGTTCGACCTCCAAGTGTTACTGCACACATATAACTTACTCATAATTCTGGGGCGGAGCCTAATTGCAAAATCGATAATACCTTATACAAATTTTCCATTTGTCTACAGATATTACAACAAAAAGGCAAAATGTAAGCCCCGCCCACCCGCCCCATCTCAATTGTGATGACTTTTTTATTCTTAGAAACTTAAAACACGTTTAAAGTGGTAACTTTTTGTAAGGAAATATGGATTTTGCAATTAGGCTCCGCCCCTACGTCCGCCAACAAATTAAAACTTCATTATTATTTAGATCAGGGCGGGTATGGGTGGAGCTTAATCTTCGGCTTTAATTTTTTCTTAATATACATATTACACAGTAATCTTTGAATAACACGATACTCAAAAACATGTCTTACGGGGTAATTTCTTGTAGCGAAATAGTGAGAATTTTGCAGTTAAACTGCGCTCCTTTGGCTCTCAACGATTAAAAAAAAATTCATTACACTTGCGATAGGGTGGGTGGGCGGGGCTTATATTTTGCCTTCTGTATTAATATAGGTACGTAGGATTTTTAGATGACTCTCAAAAATTGAAATTTTCCAGTACATATGTATATAGGGATCATAAAAACCATTTTCAAAGAAGTAGACAGTTACAAAATTATTTTTATTTAGTTTTTTTATTGCTCATCGTGAAACATTCAGTTGTGTTTCAAAAACAATTAAAGCAAAGTGACTGGAAATAACAGCGAACTTACCCTTACCCGGCACAACACAACTACATAGTTTCATTGTAAAAACTAAGAACAACATTAATAACAGAGTCAAAATTTCAACAATCTAACAATCAAACTTAGCACCTGACCACGTCAACCTGCTCCTACACAATCATAACCAACGTCATTTTACATTAAAGTTTAGAACTGCAAAACATTTATTTGTTCAATAAAAAAAAAACTCGATATGTAAATATCAAGAAGTGTTCTACTAGAGATCAAATTTAATACTATCGTCTACGATACAAATAAATATATAAAAAAATCCGTATACATGTAAAAAGATTAGTACGATCAGGCTAGGCTCAATTTTCTAAGCAAAAGCACAGCTTGGCATGACTAGAATCCAAAAAAATCGCTGCTTCTACTCCAGTTTGGCCTTCATCATTTCGTACAAGTTCGGTCGTTCTCGAGCCGCCCCTGCACTCAAAACCCTATTCGGCGCCGCCAACTGCTGCAAAGTCACCACCACCACGGCGGCAGTAAGCGTATAATTTAACCTAAAAATCGAAATCGGCGCATAAATCAGACTCGCCACCGCCAACACGTTAATAAACAGCCCGATCCCCTTGTAGCCCCTCCTGAAACAAACCATCAGTCAAGCGCAACCCAGTTGTCCCACCCACCTTTCGATTTTCGGCCAATCGAACTGCCACAGCGGCAGCGCACAAATGCTCATGATCAAACCTGGCAGGAACGAAGGGTCCGGGTTGAGCGTCGTACTGTACCTGCAAGCTCATTCGTCAGCAGGCGGAGTTTAGGCTAAGCCACACCCACATACTTAAAATTGTGAGCCCACGTCAGCACCGACGGCACGTTGATGATCGTCACCAAACACCATACGAAAAATATGGTCATGTGGAAAAACATGGCGTCGTGAGCTGACGTTTCCGCGTCAGTGTTATTGTTATTATTATTGCTGGGTTCTTTCTTCTCGAGGAGGTCTTCCAAGTCGCTGCTTTCTTCACTCGTGCTTGGTTTTTCTTCTTTCTTGGGTTGTTCTTTTTCCTCTTTTGGTTTGGGCCGTTTGAACTTGTCGCCGATTTTTCGCAGGTAGTACCAGAGTAGTTCTTCGATGTAGTCTTGCGAGTGTTGGGTCAACTTTGGGTTACTATGTAGTGGAGGTTAGTTTGGTTTGGTTTGGTTGCTTACCCGCATGAAATAGAAAACGGTTCCGACGCAGAGGGCTAGACTTCCCGTGGTTGTTAAACTAAGACCGACTAAAACCGCTGCCACTACACAAGGGACTTTGTGTAAAGCGGACATCACGTAGTCCGACCAACTCACCGTGAAACTGACAGTTTTTGCTAAAAATCTGAAGTGCATTTTTGTAGTGGTCTAAGAAGTTGGGATTTGCGCCTCACTTACTTTAGAGCTAACTTATGTACTGTGGTTTCACACACGATCAAAGACACTGACAAGACGATTCCCAAGAGCCACACAATACCAACACTGCAAATGTAAGCCAGTAGTGGCAACAAAAAAAAATCGTTGCCTTCCTGAGACATGACCAGCCTATCAGGAGCCGGGAAATTATTAATGAAGGGCTTAACGCTGCAAACTATGCATTAGATTGGTCAAACAATGGCACAAAGTACCTCAAAAACTTAGAAACTAGTTTTACGGTCGTGAGTATATAGTACGGCTTCACTCCCTCTTTTAGCGCCACGAAAAAGAACGAACAATCCCGATTGTCTTCCATATGTCTCATCTGCGCATTCAACGTCATTAGGACCACCGCTGCTACATTAACGAGCAACAGCGGGGAATAAAGTCGGGCCATTTGTCCCATGATTCCAGGAAACCAAGAACGAATACTAAAAATGATTGCAAATAATACCTTGTCATTGGTCCATATTGTGACCTAACCCCTCCCACTTACCTAACCTTATATCGACAGTTCGGGTCAAGGGTCAGTTCGATCACAGCCGACTGATTTGAGGCCCACTCAGGTCTGGACTCGTATAACCTCACATGAAACGGTCCATCGTCATCATGTCTACAAAAACCCGCTATTTTCGTGGTGAAACCCAAATTTTATAAGTACATACATGAAGAACTTGTGGTGGTTTTGGTGTCCCCATGGTACTTTGAGCGTCGCAGTGGCCTGCCTCATTTCGTACGTACAGTTCATCGATTCGACGAACAGTTGGTACGACTGCATGACCCGGTACAACTGCGGTACTACCAACTCAAAATGAACGGCTTTTTCTGGCGTTTGAGCGACTAGCGTTTGCCGCTTCATCGACAACATGTGCGGTAATTCTACAACTTGTTGACGTTCCGAGGGGTTGTAAATATCGACGTGGAAAATAACAGTTTCGTCAGTTGGTAGTACCCTTAAGACCACGTGAGTCCAATCGGGGTTGGTTTTCATCAAATCGCGCATGTTTACAGTGAGGGCGCGTCTTTTATAGTGGTGCGAGGGTGACAGTTCAGACAAGTGCGACAAATGGGTGAATTCCTCACTGAAATTAGAGCTGTGATTCGATTTTGACTCTTATGGCGACTTTACCAGACTCGGGTCTTGTCATTGGGGATGTGCGCCCCACACACGAAAGCCCAATCAACTGTCTCCAAATTGAGAGCGACTACAGTGGCGGCTTCATGTTGGGGCTGATCCAGCAGCCTCAACATGTAGAATTTGGGGCTACTATTGCGTGGGGGTACGTTTACGACGTATTGTCTACCCAGGGGTTCGATCCAGTCCCCGTGATTGCGAATGTTGGCTTTACTGTTGGGGTAACCGTCACGTAAAAGAGGGTTAAGGCCGTTGTGCTAAAAAACCGACTTTGATTGACTTTTCCCGATTTAAGTACCAACTCACATGAACTAAATGGTGGCGGAACATGTTTTTACGAAATTGGGGATCTGTCGATATTTGTTTAGTTTTTGGATCTACCGAATCAAAGAGGGCTCTGTTTAGCGCCAAAATCAGTTGTTTACACCACGTGATACAAATGTGGTCAGCTGACAACCACGTGCGCGGGATGTGAGTGGTCTGAAATCACACCACCTTGTAACTGTTGCCAACGTTATAAAATGACGTTAGTTTAATAGTTCTTGTTTTCAACAAAGCGGCACATTTCAGTGCCTACGTTGTTAGGTGTAGTTGGCCATGGAAATACTTACTGCAACGTTGATAGCATCAGGATATGTCAAAGAAGTCAGAAACGAAGGCACCAGAAAATCGTCGTTACCCCCTGTAACACTAACAAAAGTTGTATTTGAAGGTTTAGTATCGTTCAAAGCTTTATAAAAATCGTAGATATAAGAGTCCAGGGTCAACGGGATTCTGCGATGGGGGGATGCCAGAGTCAAAACGATGGATATTAAACCTTCAGGGAGGGTCTCGACCAAACGGCGGGCAACGACGCCACCCTTCACAAAATAACAATTATTATTATTATTATTTTACTCTCAAATTGAGAAATCCGGCCAAAAACGAAAAAACAAAGTTACGTCTACTCATGTTAAGATGGCGCCACAATTTTTAAATTTTTTTCAAAGTTTGAAATTTAGTCCGTTTTTGGCCACTTTCGCTACTCTAGCGCTCCGTAACTTACAACAGAGTGGGCATACAATATCACAGACTTCGGTTGGTTCTTGCGCTCTTTGTACAAGTCCAAGATCCTGTAAATCGAGCAATTCGCGTACTCGAATTGGTCCAAAAGCACCGCCCCGTTCAAGCCGCTGAACTCGTTGTTGACGTCGATCCCGAAGTGGTCGAAATGAAACGGCAGTCGGGCGTTTTTGGCCTTCCGGAGCGCGACCGACGCCAGCGACCGGGCTACGATTTGTATTATTTACAATGACGGGGTGTGGGTACGTACCTTGTCGATGCGAGCCCGCGTTTCCGGGGATGAACAGCACGGGGATGCCGGTAAAGTACATGTTTCTGCTGTCGGCGGTCAAGCTGCCCTCGCTGTAGGCGTACAGGCCATACTTCGGGTACTTTTCGTCGATTTCTTGCGCGATTTTCTGCGAATTTGTGTTTGTAAACATAACCTCAAATGTCAAACTTACCACATATTGGGGGTATTCGAACATGTAGGTCATTTCGCACTTGTTCTCGCCATAGTCGTTGAGGAAGGTTAGTAGACCGACGAAGTAGAAGAGTGTTATAATCAGCGAAAATATAATAAAGCCATTTATTACTGATGACATAACTGAGATTTGTGTTTGAAGGTTAGGGACTTTGGGGTTGGGTTGGTAACGCTGGGGTTGCCGAGAAATAATTTTGACGATTAAAAAAACAAAAACAACGAAAACCAAGGGGTTGTTTTGTTTTTTGAATTGGTTTTTATCGAGGATTTGTTATAATTAAGGTCTGTGTTGGGGAAACGTGTCCTAGTGTGGTGACACGTAAGTCAGGTGTCAAGGTTGGCAGCACTAGCACACGTCATAAAATAAATTTTTAATTTTCATTGATTGTAAAAAATATAACGATTATCCCTTATTTTAGAGCTTCGATTTCAGCGACGACATCAACTTGTCCAATTTCATCGCTTTCTGCATGTTTCCGCTGATTTTGAGCTTCCCGGTCATGAAAGCGGACGCCGGCTTCAAGTTTCCGCTGAACATACTGAAGAAGTTTTTAGTATCCATAGTCAGTGTGGCGTCTGGGGGTGAAGGGGCGTCTCCCCGACCACACGCGCCATTCCCGTTCTTCAAATCGACGTACCTGGAAACAACCCTTAAAAAAATTCAAACAAAAACGGATCCTACCATTTCCCAGCTTCCTCTCCTGTAACGACGAACTGGAAGACCGCCTGAGTTTTTTGAACAGTGTCTGGAGACAAGTTCTTTTCGATGGCTTTGAATACTTGGACGATTTTGCCGTCGCCTTGTACTTTTGGAGTGGCCAAACTTGGTCTATCGCTGGGGCGGCTATCAGACAGTTCAGACATATTCTCGTCAACAAAGAAGTCCGGCATTAGTTGGTCCTTGTAAGCGGGGTCACAGCAATATTGGTCCAAATCTGTAACGCCCTGATTTTTCAGGACCTGCTCATCAATAAAAAAGTTCCCTGTGGTGGTTTTGGGGTCTGAAGTTAAGATGGCGTAGGCTGCGTCGGCCATTATTTCTGGTTTGCGATTGTACTTGGCGGACTCGGAACCCGTGAGCATTTCCATCGCAGCCGTGTAGATACCTGGAGTAAACAAGGTTCTATATTTTTTTTTTTTTAGTTTGACAGTTTACCTGTTTTTGGCCATAAGGCGTTCACTCCAATGTTATCCGCCCGGAATTCCTCATGCATCCCTAACACACACATGGACATGCCATATTTCGCCATAGTGTACGCCACATGGTCCTTGAACCATACGGGTTTCATGCTCAGCGGCGGCGACAGGTTCAAAATATGGGCGTGCGAGCTTTTTTGCAAATATGGGTAACATTCTTTCGACCTGCGTTTTCATTATTAAAATCGCGAATCATGACTGAGCCAAACTTACACTAGAAACGTGCCCCTGGTGTTGATATTGTGCATCAAATCGTATCTTTTCATATCAGTCGCCGGCGTCGGCGTGAGAGAAATCGCAGAGGCATTATTCACAACAATGTCAATCCCCCCGAATTTTTGGACAGCTTCCTGAACGGCCTTCCGGACTTGCTGCTCGTCTCTGACGTCGACGATGCACGGCAGGCCTTTGCCCCCGGCAGCTTCAACTGAACAACACAGGCGATTATTTTTCAATTAAGGTCGCGTTTTACCTTCTTCGCAAGTCGTGTAAATGGTTCCGGCGAGTTTGGGGTGGGGGTCGGCCGTTTTGGCCGCCACTACGACGTTGGCACCGTCTTTGGCTACTTTGAGGGCTATGGCCTTGCCTATGCCTCGACTGGCCCCAGTTATGAAAACTGTGCGTCCAGCTAATTTACTGCAGTTGAATGAGTTAGAATAAATTTGTGGGTCATGGAAATGGGTTAAGAGAAGTGGAGTTCTTACCCAGTGTTCATCATTTTGTGGAAAGAGTCGAGTTATTGCACTTAAGAACTGCAAGTAATGAAGTTGTGGGGCTTATATAGATAAAAATAACAACAAATTATTACAAATCAAAGTTCAAAATGTTTGAGTGACACCACACTGAACTGTCACCTGTCGGTGTCATGCGCAACTGGAACTACGAGGTAAAAGAACTACTGGCTTAGAGGGGTTGTAGAATTTTTTTAAATCAAGTAATAACACTGTTACGAGTTCTACACATTCACATTTAGAGAACACTTCTCCAGGGTTAACATTAAAATTTTTATTTAATTATTTTGTTGTAGGTTTTTTGTGTAAGAACGTTGAGCCTACTCTAAATTTAATTTTGCCCCACAACCTTTGTACTTTAGCACTTTTATCAACAGTGACTTTACACAAAATAAAACTAATAAAAACAGTTTTGTTCACGTTGCGTATTTACAATTATTTAATCACACAATCGCCTAGAATGCGTGATTAGGGCATTTTCGTTACGATCCACGGGACTTGCCCAGTTTTCTTAAAGCAATGTTAATTATACACCAATTTACCCAAAATGGGCAAAATCGGATTCGTCAAAACCTTGTCAGTAAAACAGTCCGTGAATGTTCATACAGAAATTCTTGATAGTTACATATGTAGTTCGATAATCTGGAAATATCTAGGTTGGCACACCTGTTACGCTGTGAGTTGGTACTCTCTGGTAGGAGGGAATTTGCGACGCCTTTGACCACAGATTAAGCGCCTGAAAAATGTGAAGGTAGCGTGATGAGATAAAACCAGAAATACTGAAAAAGATGGAGAAAGAGAGCGAAGTGGTATTAAGAAAAATACTGAACAAAGTATGGGAAGCCAAAAAAACAAAAAATAAATCGTTAAACATATGCAACCATGTACACGTTTAGTTCTTTTCTGGTAGTTGGTAGTTCTGCTAGAGAATTTTTAGGTAGAGGGTCGGTAGTGAAGTTTACTTGTTTAGTAGAGGGTAGGTGGCGTGTCACTGTTGTTTTGGTAGTTAACGGCAATTAATCGAAATGACGACGTCACAGTTTCCCCAACACGCGTAGCTAATTCTTGCTGTTTTTCCAAGCAGAAATATGCGAATTTTGGACCGACGCCAACATGTGGTGTAAATTTGTTTTATTGTTTGTAAATTCACAGTTCATGTTAGGTTTTTAATCGTTAACTAGTTCTAACACAATTTAACGGTCCTGAGATAGTTCAGATCGAGCACTTGCTAGGAGATGTCAAGAGATTCACTTAGTCAGGTATCATCCTTTGTTTATCAAGTTATAAATAAGATTTCTGGATGCTTATACTCAAGTGTTACATGATAACTATCCTTAGTTCCTCACACTAGATTACTAGTAGCTCGTTTACGTCAGTTAAATTAACCTTACGTTGTCCAACTCTGGGAAAAAGACCGTGAAATTTTTCCCCTTAGGCAATTATCTTCATATCGTCATCACAGCACCGAGACATATTTTCTCGCGACGTTGAAAATTACACCACCAAGAAGCAGAATGTAAATCCTTTGTTTGAATCGTTGATAAAGTGTGGCATAATTTAACATCAGGTAAATTCTTTGTTCTGGCAGCGGCCATATTGAAACAGTATTTTCAAACCGAGCACATGTTTGAACAGTAAAATCTCGTTGAATAAATTAACAACATGTGGGACGTGCATTTTATTCCTTGAATTTAGACCATTATTTGTACATCGCCACAGGATTGCCTACTATTTTTTTTGTGTTTGTTTGGGGGAATGTAAAACGATGGCCCACAATGCAGCTGAATAACTTCACTTTTAAAAATTAACCAATAACACGAATAGACATAGATACATAGAATAATTAGCTTCATGTAATTTTGTTAGTTTTGCAATTTCTCACCTCATACATTTTTTTTTCTATCTCAAAATTTTAACTTCAGCAATTTTCATTGTTGTATAATTTAAATCGAACGTAAATTTTTATTCTCTGCAGTTTCTAACCTCACGTAATTTTTTTGTCTAGACACGTTTTATTTCACACCAGTTGTTTTTTTTTGTTTTATAAATTTTTGCTAGTATTTGTTTTCCATGTAATTATTTTGTTGATTAATGTTTCCATCATATAAATTGTCTGATGTCCAATTTTAATCTCAAATAAGAATTCTTTGCTGTTTAAAAGTTCACAAGAATGCATGCCTTACTTCTTTTTGAAACTTTTACACTTGTTCAGTTGTAGTTAAACATCAGAGTTCTAGAAATTGAACATTTAACTAGAATTGGGGTAAATAATGCAGGAACAAGTGGCGAAAGCGGAGTGCGCGGTTCCATGTCGAGCTGGCGGTCGCGCCATCTGCACAAAAGATGCAGGCCTTGAATAGAAGTCAATACAGCGGTCGGGATAACGTGACGCTGTCAGCTTACTTGTAGCCGTGATTTCCAACGGAACAGGACTTAAGGGGTGGTATTTGTTACAAGATTGGTAGCCCTACTAAACGGAATAAAATAAATGTTTTATTTTTAATGCTTGTACAAAAATTATAATTATTTCTTATTTTAGAGCTTCGCTTTCAACGACGACATCAGTGCATCCAATTTCATCGCTTTCTGCATATTTCCGCTGATTTTCAGCTTCCCGGTCATGAAAGCGGACGCCGGCTTCAAGCTTCCATTCAATATACTGAAGAAGCTTTTAGTATCCGTAGTCAGTGTAGCGTCTGGGGGTGAAGGGGCGTCTCCCCGCCCACAGGCGCCCTTCCCGTTCTTCAAATCGACGAACCTGGAAACAACTCTTAAAAAAATACATACAAAAGAAGGGCCCCCACCATTTCCCAGCTTCCTCTCCTGTAACGACGAACTGGAAGACCGCCTGAGTTTTCTGGACAGCCTCTGCAGACAAGTTCTGTTCTATTACTTTAAAAACTTTAACGATTCTGCCGTCGCCTTGTAGTTTTGGAGTGGCCAAACTCGGTCTATCGCTGGAGCGGTTTTCAATTTCGGAGATATTCTCGTCGACGAAGCGGTCGGGTATTAGTTGGTCTTTGTAGGCAGGGTCAATACAGTACTGATCAAAATCTGTGACACCCTGATCTCTCAGGACCTGCTCGTCGATAAAGAAATTCCCTGTAGTGGTTTTGGGGTCTGAAATTAAGATGGCGTAGGTTGCATCAGCCATTATTTCTGGTTTTCGAGTATACTTGGCGGACTCGGTACCCCTGAGCATTTCCATAGCGGCCGTGTACACCCCTAGAGTGCAAAAATTTCTATTATTTTAAATTTCAAGGTTTAATTAATACCTGTTTTTGGCCATAGCGCGTTCACGCCAATGTTATCCCCCCGGAATTCCTCGTGCATCCCCAGCACACACATGGACATGCCATATTTCGCCATAGTGTAGGCCACATGGTCTTTGAACCATCTGGGCTTCATGCTCAGAGGCGGTGACACGTTCAGTATATGGGCGTGCTCGCTTTTTTGCAAATATGGGTAACATTCTTTCGACCTGCGTTTCCGTTATTAAAATAGAGAATCACGACTGAACCAAACTCACACTAGAAACGTGCCCCTGGTATTGATATTGTACATCAAATCGTATCTTTTCATGTCAGTAGCCGGCGTCGCCGTGAGAGAAATCGCAGAGGCATTGTTAACAACAATGTCAATGCCCCCGAATTTTTGGACTGCTTCCTGAACGGCCTTCCGGACTTGCTGCTCGTCTCTGACGTCGACGATACAAGGCAGGCTTTTGCCCCCCGCAGCTTCAACTGAACAACACAGGCGATTATTTTTTTTAAGGTTGCGTTTTACCTTCTTCGTAGGTTGTGTAAATGGTTCCGGCGAGCTTGGGGTGGGGTTCGGCCGTTTTGGCTGCCACTACGACGTTGGCACCGTCTTTGGCTACTTTGAGGGCTATGGCTTTGCCTATGCCTCGACTGGCCCCAGTTATAAAAACGGTAAGTCCGGATAATTTTCTGCAGTTGAATGAATTAGAATAAATTTGTGGGTCAGAGGAAATGGGTTAAGAGAAATTGCGTTCTTACCCAGTATTGATCATTTTGTTGGAGGCAGTGGAGTTATTGCACTTAAGAACTACAAGTAATGAGATTGTACTTTGTACTTTAGCACCTTATCAACAATAACTTAAGTCAAAATAAAACGAATAAAAACATTTTTGTTTACAGTACGTATTTATATTTGTTTAATCACACTACTATCTCTTAGATTAGAATGCGTGATTAGGGCATTTTCGTTACGATCCACTGAAGTTACCCCGTTTTCTTAAACTAATAATATTCGTACGCCAATTTACCCAAAACTGGCAGAATCGGACTCGCCAAAACCTTGTCAGTAAGTCGAGAATGTAAACTAAATTTTCCGTGGAAGATCCACAATGTTCATACAGAAATTCTTGATAGTTCGATAATCTGGGAATTATATAGGTTGGCACACCTGTTACTTTGTGAGTTGATACTCACTGGTAGGAGGGAATTTGCGAAGCCTTTGACAGCCTGAAAAATGAGAAGGTGGCGGGAATTGACGAGATAAAACCAGAAATATTGAAAATGATGGAGAAAGAAGGTGAAGTGTTATTAAAAAAAAATCTGAACAAAGTATGGGAAGCCAAAAAAAAAACAAAAAAATTGGAAACAGCAATAAATCGTTAAACGCAGGCACCCATGTACACGTTTAGTTCTTTTCTGGTAGTTGGTAGTTCTGTTAGGGAATTTTTAAGTACAGGGTCGGTAGCGAAGTTTACTTGTTTGCTAGAGGGTAGGTGGCATGTCACTGTTGTTTTGGTTTGGTGAGTGGAAGCATGCGGTAAGGAAGCTAGATTAAGTTTAGTTGGTTTGGTAGTTAACGACAATTAATCGAAACAACGACGCCACAGTTTCCCCAACACGCGTAGCTAATTCTTGCTGTTTTTCCAAGCAGAAATATGCGAATTTTGGACTGACGCCAACACGTGGTGTAAATTTGTTTTATTGTTTGTAAATTCACAGTTCATGTTAGGTTTTTAATCGTTAACTAGTTCTAACACAATTTAACGGTCCTGAGATAGTTCAGATCGAGCACTTGCTAGGAGATGTCAAGAGATTCACTTAGTCAGGTATCATCCTTTGTTTATCAAGTTATAAATAAGATTTCTGGATGCTTATACTCAAGTGTTACTTGATAACTATTCTTAGTTCCTCACACTAGAGTACTAGTAGCTCGTTTACGTCAGTTAAATTAACCTTACGTTGTCCAACTCTGGGAAAAAGACCGTGAAATTTTTCCCCTTAGGCAGTTATCATCATATCACCGAGACATATTTTCTCGCGACGTTGAAAATTACACCACCAAGAAGCAGAATGTAAATCCTTTGTTTGAATCGTTGATAAAGTGTGGCATAATTTAACATCAGGTAAATTCTTTGTTCCGGCAGCGGCCATGTTGAAAGAGTATTTTCAAACCGAACACATGTTTGAACAGTAAAATCTCGTTGAATAAATTAACAACATGTGGGACGTGCATTTTATTCCTTGAATTTAGACCATTATTTGTACATCGCCACAGGATTGCCTACTATTTTTTTTGTGTTTGTTTGGGGGAATGTAAAACGATGGCCCACAATGCAGCTGAATAACTTCACTTTTAAAAATTAACCAATAACACGAATAGACCTAGATACATAGAATAATTAGCCTCATGTAATTTTGTTAGCTTTGCAATTTCTCACCTCATACATTTTTTTTCAATCTCACAATTTTAACTTCAGTAATTTTCTTTGTTGTATAATTTAAACCGAACCTAAATTTTCATGCTCTGCAGTTTCTAACCTCACGTAATTTTTTTATCTGCACACGTTTTATTTCACACCAGATTGTTTTTGTGTTTTATAAATTTTTGCTAGTCTTTTTTTTCCATGTAATTATTTTGTTGATTAATGTTTCCATCATTTAAATTGTCTGATGTGCAATTCACAAGAATGTATGCCTTACTTCTTTTTGAAACTTTTACACTTGTTCAGTTGTAGTTTAGCATCAGAGTTCTAGAAATTGAACATTTAACTGGAATTGCGGTAAATAACGCAGGAACACGTGGCGAAAGCGCATTGTCGAGCTGGCGGTTGCGCCATCTGCACGAAAGATGCAGGCCTTGGATAGAAGTCAGGGGAGCGGTCGGGATAACGTGACGCTGTCACCTTACTTGTAGCCGTGATTTCCAACGGAACAGGACCTAAGGGGTAGTCTTTGTTACAAGATTGGTAGCCCTACTAAACGGAATAAAATAAATGTTTTATTTTTATTACTTATACAAAAATTATAATTATTTCTTATTTTAGAGCTTCGCTTTCAACGACGACATCAGTGTGTCCAAATTCATCGCTTTCTGCATATTCCCGCTGATTTTCAGCTTCCCGGTCATGAAAGCGGACGCCGGCTTCAAGCTTCCAGTGAACATACTGAAGAAGTTATTAGTATCCATAGTCAGTGTAGCGTCGGGGGGTGAAGGGGCATCTCCCCGCCCACAGGCGCCCTTCCCGTTCTTCAAATCGACGAACCTAGAAACAACCCTTAAAAAAAATACATACAAAAAAGGATCGTACCATTTCCCATCTTCGTCTCCTATAACGACGAACTGGAAGACCGCCTGAGTTTTCTGGACAGCCTCTGCAGACAAGTTCTGTTCTATGGCTTTAAAAACGTTAACGATTCTGCCGTCGCCTTGTATTTTCGGAGTGGCCAAACTTGGTCTATCGCTGGAGCGGTTTTCCATTTCGGAGATATTCTCGTCGACGAAGCCGTCGGGCATTAGTTGGTCTTTGTAGGCAGGGTCAATGCAGTACTGATCAAAATCTGTGACACCCCGATCTCTCAGGACCTGCTCGTCGATAAAGAAATTCCCTGTAGTGGTTTTGGGGTCTGACGTTAAGATGGCGTAGGCTGCATCAGCCATTATTTCTGGTTTTCGATTATACTTAGCGGACTCGGGACCCGTGAGCATTTCCATAGCAGCCGTGTACACCCCTAGAGTACAAAAATTTCCAATATTTTAAATTTCAAGGTTTAAACAACACCTGTTTTTGGCCATAGCGCGTTCACTCCAATGTTATCCCCCCGGAATTCCTCATGCATCCCTAGCACACACATGGACATGCCATATTTCGCCATAGTGTAAGCCACATGGTCTTTGAACCATATGGGTTTCATGCTCAGCGGCGGCGACACGTTCAAAATATGGGCGTGCGCGCTTTTTTGCAAATATGGATAACATTCTTTTGACCTGCGTTTGCGTTATTAAAACAACGAATCACGACTGAACCAAACTCACACTAGAAACGTGCCCCTGGTATTGATATTGTGCATCAAATCGTATCTTTTCATATCAGTAGCCGGCGTCGGCGTGAGAGAAATCGCAGAGGCATTGTTAACAACAATGTCAATACTCCCGAATTTTTGGACGGCTTCTTGAACGGCCTTACGAACTTGGTGTTCGTCTCTGACGTCGACGATGCAAGGCAGGCTTTTGCCCCCGGCAGCTTCAACTGAACAACACAGGCGATTATTTTTTTTAAGGTTGCGTTTTACCTTCTTGGCAGGTTGTGTAAATGGTTCCGGCGAGTTTGGGGTGGGGTTCGGCCGTTTTGGCTGCCTCTACGACGTTGGCACCGTCTTTGGCTACTTTGAGGGCTATGGCTTTGCCTATGCCTCGACTAGCCCCAGTTATAAAAACGGTAAGTCCGGATAATTTTCTGCAGTTGAATGAATTAGAATCAATTTGTGAGTCAGGGGAAATGGGTTAAGAGAAATTGCGTTCTTACCCAGTGTTGATCATTTTGTTGGAGGCAGTGGAGTTATTGCACTTAAGAACTACCAGTAATGCGATTGTACTTTGTACTTTAGCACCTTATCAACAATAACTTAACTCAAAATAAAACGAATAAAAACATTTTGTTTACATTACGTATTTATATTTGTTTAATCACACTACTATCTCTTAGATTAGAATGCGTGATTAGGGCATTTTCGTTACGATCCACTGAAGTTACCCCGTTTTCTTAAACTAATAATATTCGTACGCCAATTTACCCAAAATTGGCAGAATCGGACTCGCCCAAACCTTGTCAGTAAGTCGAGAATGTAAACTAAATTTTCCGTGGAAGATCCACAATGTTCATACAGAAATTCTTGATAGTTCGATAATCTGGAAATATATAGGTTGGCACACCTGTTACTTTGTGAGTTGATACTCACTGGTAGGAGGGAATTTGCGAAGCCTTTGACAGCCTGAAAAATGAGAAGGTGGCGGGAATTGACGAGATAAAACCAGAAATATTGAAAAAGATGTAGAAAGAAGGTGAAGTGTTAAAAAGAAAATCTGAACAAAGTATGGGAAGCCAAAAAAAAACAAAAAAATTGGAAACAGCAATAAATCGTTAAACGCAGGCAACCATGTACACGTTTAATTCTTTTCTGGCAGTTGGTAGTTCTGCTAGGGAATTTTTAGGTAGAAGGTAGGTAGTGAAGTTTACTTGTTTGGTAGAAGGTAGGTGGCGTGTCACTGTTGTTTTGGTTTGGTAAGTGGAAGCATGCGGTAAGGAAGCTAGATTAAGTTTAGTTGGTTTGGTAGTTAACGACAATTAATCGAAACGACGACGCCACAGTTTCCCCAACACGCGTAGCTAATTCTTGCTGTTTTTCCAAGCAGAAATATGCGAATTTTCGACCGACGCCAACACGTGATGTAAATTTGTTTTATTGTTTGTAAATTCACAGTTCATGTTAGGTTTTTAATCGTTAACTAGTTCTAACACAATTTAACGGTTCTGAGATAGTTCAGATCGAACACTTGCTAGGAGATGTCAAGAGATTCACTTAGTCAGGTATCATCCTTTGTTTATCAAGTTATAAATAAGATTTCTGGATGCTTATACTCAAGTGTTACATGATAACTATTCTTAGTTCCTCACACAAGATTACTAGTAGCTCGTTTACGTCAGTTAAATTAACCTAACGTTGTCCAACTCTGGGAAAACGACCGTGAAATTTTTCCCCTTAGGCAATTATCTTCATATCGTCATCACAGCACCGAGACATATTTTCTCGCGACGTTGAAAATTACGCCACCAAGAAGCAGAATGTAAATCCTTTGTTTGAATTGTTGATAAAGTGTGGCATAATTTTACATCAGGTAAATTCTTTGTTCTGGCAGCAGCCATGTTGAAATAGTATTTTCAAACCGAGCACATGTTCGAACAGTAAAATCTCGTTGAACATGTTAACAACATGTGGGACGTGCATTTTATTCCTTGAATTTAGACCATTATTTGTACATCGCCACAGGATTATCTACTTTTTTTTTAGTGTTTGTTTGGGGGAATGTAAAACGATGGCCCACAATGCAGCTGAATAACCTCACTTTTAAAAATTAACCAATAACACGAATAGCCATAGATACATAGAATAATTAGCCTCATGTAATTTTGTTAGCTTTGCAATTTCTCACCTCATACATTTTTTTTTCTATCTCACAATTTTAACTACAGTATTTTTTTTTTGTTGTATAATTTAAATGAGACGTAAATTTTTATGCTCTGCAGTTTCTAATTTCACGTAATTTTTTTGTCTGCACACGTTTTATTTCACACCAGTTGTTTTTTTTTTGTTTTATAAATTTTTGCTAGTCTTTTTTTCCATGTAAATATTTTGTTGATTAATGTTTCCATCATATAAATTGTCTGATGTCCAATTTTAATCTCAAATAAGAATTCTTTGCTGTTTAAAAGTTCACAAGAATGTATGCCTTACTTCTTTTTGAAACTTTTACACTTGTTCAGTTGCAGTTTAATATCAGAGTTCTAGAAATTGAACATTTAACTAGAATTGGGGTAAATAATGCAGGAACAAGTGGCGAAAGCGGAGTGCGCGGTTCCATGTCGAGCTGGCGGTCGCGCCATCTGCACAAAATATGCAGGCCTTGAATAGAAGTCAGGGGAGCGGTCGGGATAACGTGACGCTGTCAGCTTACTTGTAGCCGTGATTTCCAACGGAACAGGACTTAAGGGGTGGTATTTGTTACAAGATTGGTAGCCCTACTAAACGGAATAAAATAAATGTTTTATTTTTAATGCTTGTACAAAAATTATAATTATTTCTTATTTTAGAGCTTCGCTTTCAACGACGGCATCAGTGCATCCAATTTCATCGCTTTCTGCATATTCCCGCTGATTTTCAGCTTCCCGGTCATGAAAGCGAACGCCGGCTTCAAGCTTCCATTCAATATACTGAAGAAGCTTTTAGTATCCGTAGTCAGTGTAGCGTCTGGGGGTCAAGGGGCGTCTCCCCGCCCACAGGCGCCCTTCCCGTTCTTCAAATCGACGAACCTGGAAACAACCCTTAAAAAAATACATACAAAAGAAGGGCCCCCACCATTTCCCAGCTGCCTCTCCTGTAACGACGAACTGGAAGACCGCCTGAGTTTTCTGGACAGCCTGTGCAGACAAGTTCTGTTCTATTACTTTAAAAACGTTAACGATTCTGCCGTCGCCTTGTAGTTTTGGAGTGGCCAAACTCGGTCTATTGCTGGAGTGGTTTTCAATTTCGGAGATATTCTCGTCGACGAAGCGGTCGGGTATTAGTTGGTCTTTGTAGGCAGGGTCAATACAGTACTGATCAAAATCTGTGACACCCTGATCCCTCAGGACCTGCTCGTCGATAAAGAAATTCCCTGTAGTGGTTTTGGGGTCTGAAATTAAGATGGCGTAGGTTGCATCAGCCATTATTTCTGGTTTTCGAGTATACTTGGCGGACTCGGTACCCCTGAGCATTTCCATAGCGGCCGTGTACACCCCTAGAGTGCAAAAATTTCTATTATTTTAAATTTCAAGGTTTAAACAACACCTGTTTTTGGCCATAGCGCGTTCACGCCAATGTTATCCCCCCGGAATTCCTCATGCATTCCCAGCACACACATGGACATGCCATATTTCGCCATAGTGTAGGCCACATGGTCTTTGAACCATCTAGGTTTCATGCTCAGCGGCGGTGACACGTTCAGTATATGGGCGTGCGCGCTTTTTTGCAAATATGGGTAGCATTCTTTCGACCTGCGTTTGCGTTATTAAAACAACGAATCACGACTGAACCAAACTCACACTAGAAACGTGCCCCTGGTATTGATATTGTGCATCAAATCGTATCTTTTCATGTCAGTCGTCGGCGTCGGCGTGAGAGAAATCGCAGAAGCATTGTTAACAACAATATCAATGCCCCCGAATTTTTGGACGGCTTCCTGAACGGCCTTACGGACTTGCTGCTCGTCTCTGACGTCGACGATGCAAGGCAGGCTTTTGCCCCCGGCAGCTTCAACTGAACAACACAGGCGATTATTTTTTTAAGGTTGCATTTTATGTACCTTCTTCGCAGGTTGTGTAAATGGTTCCGGCGAGCTTGGGGTGGGGTTCGGCCGTTTTGGCTGCCACTACGACGTTGGCACCGTCTTTGGCTACTTTGAGGGCTATGGCTTTGCCTATGCCTCGACTGGCCCCAGTTATAAAAACGGTAAATCCGGATAATTTTCTGCAGTTGAATGAATTAGAAAAAATTTGTGGGTCAGAGGAAATGGGTTAAGAGAAATTGCGTTCTTACCCAGTATTGATCATTTTGTTGGAGGCAGTGGAGTTATTGCACTTAAGAACTACAAGTAATGCGATTGTACTTTGTACTTTAGCACCTTATCAACAATAACTTAACTCAAAATAAAACGAATAAAAACATTTTGTTTACATTACGTATTTATATTTGTTTAATCACACTACTATCTCTTAGATTAGAATGCGTGATTAGGGCATTTTCGTTACGATCCACTGAAGTTACCCCGTTTTCTTAAACTAATAATATTCGTACGCCAATTTACCCAAAATTGGCAGAATCGGACTCGCCCAAACCTTGTCAGTAAGTCGAGAATGTAAACTAAATTTTCCGTGGAAGATCCACAATGTTCATACAGAAATTCTTGACAGTTCGATAATCTGGAAATATATAAGTTGGCACACCTGTTACTTTGTGAGTTGATACTCACTGGTAGGAGGGAATTTGCGAAGCCTTTGACAGCCTGAAAAATGAGAAGGTGGCGGGAATTGACGAGATAAAACCAGAAATATTGAAAAAGATGGAGAAAAAAGGTGAAGTGTTATTAAAAAAAATACTGAACAAAGTATGGAAAGCCAAAAAAAAAACAAAAAAATTGGAAACAGCAATAAATCGTTAAACATAGGCAACCATGTACACGTTTAGTTCTTTTCTGGCAGTTGGTAGTTCTGTTAGGGAATTTTTAAGTACAGGGTCGGTAGCGAAGTTTACTTGTTTGCTAGAGGGTAGGTGGAGTGTCACTGTTGTTTTGGTTTGGTGAGTGGAAGCATGCGGTAAGGAAGCTAGATTAAGTTTAGTTGGTTTGGTAGTTAACGACAATTAATCGAAACAACGACGCCACAGTTTCCCCAACACGCGTAGCTAATTCTTACTGTTTTTCCAAGCAGAAATATGCGAATTTTGGACTGACGCCAACATGTGTGGTGTAAATTTGTTTTATTGTTTGTAAATTCACAGTTCATGTTAGGTTTTTAATCGTTAACTAGTTCTAACACAATTTAACGGTCCTGAGATAGTTCAGATCGAGCACTTGCTAGGAGATATCAAGAGATTCACTTAGTCAGGTATCATCCTTTGTTTATCAAGTTATAAATAAGATTTCTGGATGCTTATACTCAAGTGTTACATGATAACTATTCTTAGTTCCTCACACTAGATTACTAGTAGCTCGTTTACGTCAGTTAAATTAACCTAACGTTGTCCAACTCTGGGAAAAAGACCGTGAAATTTTTCCCCTTAGGCAATTATCTTCATATCGTCATCACAGCACCGAGACATATTTTCTCGCGACGTTGAAAATTACGCCACCAAGAAGCAGAATGTAAATCCTTTGTTTGAATCGTTGATAAAGTGTGGCATAATTTAACACCAGGTAAATTCTTTGTTCTGGCAGCGGCCATGCTGAAAGAGTATTTTCAAACCGAGCACAGGTTTGAACAGTAAAATCTCGTTGAATAAATTAACAACATGTGGGACGTGCATTTTATTCCTTGAATTTAGACCATTATTTGTACATCGCCACAGGATTGCCTACTATTTTTTTTGTGTTTGTTTGGGGGAATGTAAAAGGATGGCCCACAATGCAGCTGAATAACTTCACTTTTAAAAATTAACCAATAACACGAATAGACCTAGATACATAGAATAATTAGCCTCATGTAATTTTGTTAGCTTTGCAATTTCTCACCTCATACATTTTTTTTCTATCTCACAATTTTAACTTCAGTAATTTTCTTTGTTGTATAATTTAAACCGAACCTAAATTTTCATGCTCTGCAGTTTCTAACCTCACGTAATTTTTTTATCTGCACACGTTTTATTTCACACCAGATTGTTTTTGTGTTTTATAAATTTTTGCTAGTCTTTTTTTTCCATGTAATTATTTTGTTGATTAATGTTTCCATCATTTAAATTGTCTGATGTCCAATTCACAAGAATGTATCCCTTACTTCTTTTTGAAACTTTTACACTTGTTCAGTTGTAGTTTAACATCAGAGTTCTAGAAATTGAACATTTAACTGGAATTGCGGTAAATAACGCAGGAACACGTGGCGAAAGCGCATTGTCGAGCTAGCGGTTGCGCCATCTGCACGAAAGATGCAGGCCTTGAATAGAAGTCAGGGGAGCGGTCGGGATAACGTGACGCTGTCACCTTACTTGTAGCCGTGATTTCCAACGGAACAGGACCTAAGGGGTGGTATTTGTTACAAGATTGGTAGCCCTACTAAACGGAATAAAATAAATGTTTTATTTTTAATGCTTGTACAAAAATTATAATTATTTCTTATTTTAGAGCTTCGCTTTCAACGACGACATCAGTGTGTCCAAATTCATCGCTTTCTGCATATTCCCGCTGATTTTCAGCTTCCCGGTCATGAAAGCGGACGCCGGCTTCAAGCTTCCAGTGAACATACTGAAGAAGTTATTAGTATCCATAGTCAGTGTAGCGTCGGGGGGTGAAGGGGCATCTCCCCGCCCACAGGCGCCCTTCCCGTTCTTCAAATCGACGAACCTAGAAACAACCCTTAAAAAAAATACATACAAAAAAGGATCGTACCATTTCCCATCTTCGTCTCCTGTAACGACGAACTGGAAGATCGCCTGAGTTTTCTGGACAGCCTCTGCAGACAAGTTCTGTTCTATGGCTTTAAAAACGTTAACGATTCTGCCGTCGCCTTGTATTTTCGGAGTGGCCAAACTTGGTCTATCGCTGGAGCGGTTTTCCATTTCGGAGATATTCTCGTCGACGAAGCCGTCGGGTATTAGTTGGTCTTTGTAGGCAGGGTCAATGCAATACTGATCAAAATCTGTGACACCCCGATCCCTCAGAACCTGCTCGTCGATAAAGAAATTCCCTGTAGTGGTTTTAGGGTCTGAAGTTAAGATGGCGTAGGCTGCATCAGCCATTATTTCTGGTTTTCGATTGTACTTGGCGGACTCGGGACCCGTGAGCATTTCCATAGCGGCCGTGTACACCCCTAGAGCGCAAAAATTTCTATTATTTTAAATTTCAAGGTTTAAACAACACCTGTTTTTGGCCATAGCGCGTTCACTCCAATGTTGTCCGCCCGGAATTCCTCATGCATCCCCAACACACACATGGACATGCCATATTTCGCCATAGTGTACGCCACATGGTCTTTGAACCATATGGGTTTCATGCTCAGCGGCGGCGACACGTTCAAAATATGAGCGTGCGCGCTTTTTTGCAAATATGGATAACATTCTTTTGACCTGCGTTTGCGTTATTAAAACAACCAATCACCACTGAACCAAACTCACACTAGAAACGTGCCCCTGGTATTGATATTGTGCATCAAATCGTATCTTTTCATATCAGTAGCCGGCGTCGGCGTGAGAGAAATCGCAGAGGCATTGTTAACAACAATGTCAATGCCCCCGAATTTTTGGACCGCTTCCTGGACGGCCTTACGGACTTGCTGCTCGTCTCTGACGTCGACGATGCAAGGCAGGCTTTTGCCCCCGGCAGCTTCAACTGAACAACACAAGCGTTTATTTTTTTTATTAAGGGTGCGTTTTACCTTCTTCGCAAGTCGTGTAAATGGTTCCGGCGAGTTTGGGGTGGGGGTGGGCCGTTTTGGCTGCCACTACGACGTTGGCACCGTCTTTGGCGACTTTGAGGGCTATGGCTTTGCCGATGCCTCGACTGGCCCCAGTTATAAAAACCGTAAGTCCGGCTAATTTTCTGCAGTTAAATAAATCAGTGCCTATAGGGAATGGTTTCAAAGATTAGTTCTTACCCGGTGTTGATCATTTTGTTGCAGAGAGTGTGTTATTACTTAACAACTGCAAGTAATGTGAGTGTGGGGTTTATATAGATAAAAAAAACAATAATAAATGATTAGGGTACAAAGTTCAAAAAGTTTGAGTGCCACCACTGAACTGTCACCTGTCAGCGTAACGTGCAGCTGGAACTACGAAGCAAAACAACTACCAAGTTAAATGGGTTGCAGAATTTTTTTACAACCAAGTAATAATACTGTTGTCGATTTTACACTCTCTGAATTTTATAACACTTCTCCAGAAGTTATAATTAATTATTTATTTATTTATTTCGTTGTAGGTGCTTTGTATATGATCAATTAACCTACTCTATTTTAATTTTGCTCCACAACCTTTGCACACTTTATCACTTTATCAAATGACTTAACACTAAATAAAACGAATAAAAACACTTTATTTACATTACGTATTTACAATTATTTAATCACAAAATCTCCCAAAATGCATGACTAGGGCATTTTCGTTACGATCCACGGCAGTCGCCCCGTCTTCTTAAAGTAATAATAATCGTAGGCCAATTTGCCCAAAATTAGCAAAATCAGACTGGCCAAAACCCCATTCAGTAAGTCCAGAGCTTGAACTGAATATTCCGTGGGAGATCTACACACAGAACTTCTGGATAATTCAATAATCTGAAAACACACAGATTGGCACCCCTGCTGCACTTCGAGTTGGTACTCACTGGTAGTAGCGAATTTTCGTCACCCTCGACGTACGAGCACTTAACTTCCCTGAGATCTTGAATCTGGGGGGCGAATTTCTGCAGCATTTCCTAAAAATGTAGTCAAAAATAATCATTTGCGCCACTTTGTAACAGTTCTTACTTGAAACACAGGTGTGAAAACACAATCGCACCTCCACGGATTTCCCCCAAGAAAGAGACTAAGCGCGTTGGGCATGTGGTTGTTTTGTTCCAGAGCGTTATCCAGAGCGTACGTCGGAACCTCAGTCAGTCTATTCCCACTCAGAGAAAACACCCGAAAGTGCTTCAAAAAGTACGACCCTTCCAACTCCTCAATGCTTCTCACTTTGTTATTGTCTAAATACAAATCGAAGACTTTTTTGTACACAGGATCGTGCTTCAGCGGCTTCAGATCTTCGATTTCGTTACCCTCTAGTCTGATTATTCGGCTTTTAGGGGGTAGATTCAGAGGTAGTTGGGTTAAGCTTCTGTACGAACAGTTGACTTCAAAGACGGGCTCTAGACGTTCGTGGGAACCCCATTTTTCGTACACTTTGGGCAAAGTACACGAACAGTAACTAGGGCACTGTTTTTTCAAGTCTTCTGTGAAACCGGCTATGGTTAGTAGGTTTCTTTTGGCGTAGGGGACGCCGAAGCAAGTTAGGTTTTTGAGGTCTTTGACGACGCTTTGGTTTAACTGGGAAACCCAGGCCAAGTCTAACGAACAGTTCCATCTGTTGCCTAAGAACAAACTTCGTTTTAGTATTATGACATTTGACTTGCAGACCGGAAAAAGTATCCGTTCAAATGAAAACTGTGTGGTTGCACAGACAAGAAAGAAAACTGTGACGCATACAAAACCTACTTCCACACCTCTGTGTCACTATACAATAAAACAATGAATTTTTGCAAAATGTATAGAAACCCACAGCGCTGATACTCGTCAGATCATACTTCAGTACTAGTGCAAGCAGTCAACATGAATTACGTACTCTTTTGTTTAATGTTTGTGGTAACTACTGCACAATCTACGGATGGTAAGTAGCATCAGACTTTAAAACCAAAGCTTATTTGCTTTTTGCAGAGGAGGACAGCCTTTTGAGCGATGTTTCTAGCGGTGTTTCTACGGCTGTGTCTGCAGTAACAGCACCTGCGGGAAATCTGTTGCTAGATGGCAACAATATTCTACTGGCTATACCAAAGATGATTGTGAACGCTATCTCAAGCATAATTTCTGGATTTTTATCAAAGTTGTTGCCGGGGTTTGCACCGATAATTGATTTCTTCATAAAACAAGTGGTCGGCGTTATTAATTTAGGAATCAAATTTGTGGGAACATTATTTCGGGGAACTGGCAAGTCCTAAACAGTGTTATCAACGGTAGTCATGCAGATCTTCGATTTAATAGTGTATTGTACTTTTATATAATAAGATCGCACTCAAACAAATATACCTATTCTAAAATTTAATAAGGGTGATTGTACTTAATTGTATTTCTCACCTATTTTCATACCACGCACTGATACCACGACCTCAATTTATTAGACAAGTGACGGTTTAATTTAATTAAATATTGTATTGGTACAAAAACCAATCAATCAACGAATGGGTACCAACCGCCTCTCATGGCTAGACCCACTGCTACCAAATTATCGTTTTTGTAATTATTTACGTAATCTGTCAGAATTTTTGTTTCTTCAGTCTTGCTTTACTTAATTAATTAAAAGAAAATGCTTTTTCATTTTTAACACATCCGGTATTTAGTAATGGTTTTATTTTTTTATTTCTTTGAACCAATTTATTTTTGTGATGTTCAAACTTGAAACTTCTATATTTTCTAATCACCCTTCTAATTTATTTTAGATTCAGTTCCTTCTTGTTTTTTTTTTCATGTGTGTTCCAGTTTTCATATTTTCTCAAATCTTGTTATCGAAAGCACAATTCTCTACATTTTTTTTAACAGATTCGACCTTTTTTAGTGGTTGGATTTTTTGTTTGTATGATTTTCAGCACTAACATGATTTTTACGTTGTCATTAATGGACTTGACTTTTCCGTCTCTTCTAGTTTTTATTTTTACTTATTTTTTTGTCATGTTTAAGCTTTCAACAGTTGCAACTTCCATTTTTTCCTTTGGAAACGTTTATCTTTTAAAATACCACCTGATCAGAAAAGACTGAGTCTGTTGGCAATCCTGGATTTTTAGTTGAAATTGGTATCATGATGCTTTTTATAATTTCCGGTTGTCAGTTGTCAAGAGTAACAGATTGTTGACATTTTTAATTTGGAGATGTATCCAAAACATAACCTAAATTTATAGCGTGTCACACTTGACATATCTGTCACAATTACTTCCGTTATGCCAACATAAATACAAGAAAAGTTCACATGTTTATTTAAGAAGTGCTGCCAACAGACTCAGTTATTTCTGATCACGCGGTATAACTAGCGATTTTTCTACAACCCTGTATTTTTTTTAGTTTCGGTTCCTTCTCGGAAACTAGATTCTTGCCTTTTCTGTGTTTATTTTTCTTATAGTTTTTCGGATTTTTTAAAAATTATATCTCAAAGTGAATATTTCTAAAATCTGGCTCTGAGACCATAAAAATTCTATATTTTTGGAATCAGGCAACTTTTTCAATACTTGAAAATTTCAGAATATTTGGACCATGTTTAAAAATTAACCAAAAAAATGTTCCCATACATTTCGGCCTCCTGAAGTTACTTTCGGTCTCATTTTTTCAGTAAGTTTTCTCCCATCTCCCATTGAAAATTTTGCTTTTTGTTTTTTTTTTTTAATTGAAATGCGAATGACACATGCATAAAAAACTCCGAAGTCGTTATTTCAACTCAAAAGTTACAGTTTTTTGGATTGTTTTTGAAATTAACACGTCGAAATCTATATTCCAGAATTTTTTGAAAATTTTCAGACAACTTTTTGAAAATCAAACTTTTTCGGAATATTTGGATCATGTTCAAAAATTAACCAAAGACATTTCGGCCTCCCGAAATTACTTTAGGTCTCATTTCTTTGATAAGTTGTCCACAATCTCCCATTGGAATATGAGTGTTTTTTGGATTTTTTTTAAATTGAAACGTGAATGACATCCATCAAAAAAAACTCTAAAGTCGTTATTTCAATTATTTTTCGAGGTATTTGGGTACAAATTTACACTTTCAAATACCTCATATTTCATTTCATTTTAGTTTGGTTATTTTCGAAAAATTGTAGGATTTTTTGAAGAAATTAACTACAAACAGCTTCTAGAAGTCGAAATTACAAAACCCGGAACAACCTCATGGTAAAAAATGATAAAAAAAAATCATACATTCGTCAGAAAAAATAATCCAAAGTTGATATTTCAACTGGATTTCCAGATTTTCGGGTTAAAAATTAAATTTTTAAAATCTCTCAAATTTGTCACATTTCATTTTCGATATCCTTAAAAAATTGAAGCAGTTTTTGAAAGAATTCCCATTGAAAAATTACAGTTTTTTGGATTTTTTTTTAAATTACATGTCAAACCGAATATTTCTAAAATCTGGCCCCCAGACTATAAGAATGCTATATTTTTGGTATCAGCACGTCGAAATCTATATCCCACAATTGTTTGAAGATTTTCAGGCAATGTTTTTAAATCAGACTTTTTCAATACTTGAAAATTTCGGAATATTTGGATCATATTCAAAAACTAACCAAAGACGTTTTCAGATACATTTCGGCCTCCCGAAGTTACTTTACGTCTCATTTCTATGATAAGTTTTCCACAATCTCCCATTAAAATATGAGAGTCTTTTGGATTTTTTTTAAATTGAAACGTGAATGATATCCATCAAAGAAAAAACTCTAAAGTCGTTATTTCAATTGATTTTTCGAGGTATTTGGGTACAAATTTACATTTTCAAATACCTCATGTTTCATTTCATTTTAGTTTGGTTATTTTCAAAAAATTGTAGGAATTTTTGAATAAATTACTATAAACAGCTTCTAGAAGTCAAAATTACAAAACCCGGAAAAACCTCATTGTCAAAAATTATGAAAAAAAAATCATACATTCGTCAAAAAAAATAATCCAAAGTTGATATTTCAACTGGATTTCCAGATTTTCGGGTTCAAAATTAAATTTTTAAAATCTCTCAAATTTGTCACATTTCATTTTTGATATCCTTAAAAAATTGAAGCAATTTTTGAAAGAATTTCCCATTGAAAAATTACAGTTTTTTGGATTTTTTTAAAATTACATGTCAAACCGAATATTTCTAAAATCTGGCCCAGAGACCATAAGAAAGCTATATTTTTGGAATCAGCACGTCGAAATCTATATCCCAAAATTTTTTGAAGATTTTCAGGCAATTTTTTTAAAACCGGACTTTTTCAATACTTGAAAATTTCGGAATATTTGGATCATGTTCAAAAATTAACCAAAGACGTTTTCAGATACATTTCGGCCTCCCGAAGTTACTTTAGGTCTCATTTCTTTGATAAGTTTTCCACAATCTCCCATTGAAATGAGAGTTTTTTGGATTTTTCTTAAATTGAACCGTGCATGGCATCCATAAAAAAAAACCTCTAAAGTCGTTATTTCAATTGTTTTTTCGAGATATTTGGGTACAAATTTACATTTTCAAATACCTCATGTTTCATTTCATTTTAGTTTGGTTATTTTCGAAAAATTGTAGGAATTTTTGAAGAAATTAACTATAAACAGCTTCTAGAAGTCAAAATTACAAAACCCGGAACAACCTCATGGTAAAAAATTATGAAAAAAAAATCATACATTCGTCAGAAAAAATAATCCAAAGTTGATATTTCAACTGGATTTCCAGATTCTCGGGTTCAAAATTAAATTTTTAAAATCTCTCAAATTTGTCACATTTCATTTTCGATATCCTTAAAAAATTGAAGCAGTTTTTGAAAGAATTCCCATTGAAAAATTACAGTTTTTTGGATTTTTTTTAAATTACATGTCACACCGAATATTTCTAAAATCTGGCCCCGAAACTATAAGAATGCTATATTTTTGGTATCACCACGTCGAAATCTATATTCCAAAATTTTTTGAAGATTTTCAGGCAATTTTTTTAAAACCAGATTTTTTCAAAACTTGAAAATTTCGGAATATTTGGATCATATTCAAAAATTAACCAAAGACGTTTTCAGATACATTTCGGCCTCCCGAAGTTACTGTAGGTCTCATTTCTTTGATAACTTTTTCACAATCTCCCATTGAAATATGAGAGTTTTTTGAATTTTTTTTTAATTGAAACGTGAATGATAATAATAAAAAAAAACTCTAAAGTCGAAAAGTCAAATTTACATTTTCAAATACCTCATATTTCATTTCATTTTAGTCTGGTAATTTTCGAAAAATTGCAGGAATTTTTGAAGAAATTAACTATAAACAGCTTCTAGAAGTCAAAATTATAAAACCCGGAACAACCTCATGGTAAAAAATTATGAAAAAAAAATCATACATTCGTCAGAAAAAGTAATCCAAAGTTGATATTTCAACTGGATTTCCAAATTTTCGGGTTCAAAATTAAATTTTTAAAATCTCTCAAATTTGTCACATTTCATTTTCGATATCCTTAAAAAATTGAAGCAGTTTTTGAAAGAATTTCCCATTGAAAAATTCCAGTTTTTTGGATTTTTTTTAAATTCCACGTCAAACAGAATATTTCTAAAATCTGGCCCCGTGACCATAAGAATGCTATATTTTTGGAATCTGCACGTCAAAATCTATAACCCAAAATTTTTTGAAGATTTTCCGGCAATTTTTTTAAAACCAGATTTTTTCAATATATGAAAATTTCGGAATATTTGGATCATGTTCAAAAATTAACCAAAGACGTTTTCAGTTACATTTCGGCCTCCCGAAGTTACTTCAGGTCTCGTTTCTTTGATAAGTTTTCCACAATCACCCATTGAAATATGAGAGTTTTTTGGATTATTTTAAATTGAAACGTGAATGACATCCATCAAAAAAAAAACTCTAAAGTCGTTATTTCAGTTGTTTTTTCGAGGTAAGTATTTGGGTACAAATTTACATTTTCAAATACCTCATGTTTCATTTCATTTTAGTTTAGTTATTTTCGAAAAATTGTAGGAATTTTTGAAGAAATTAACTATAAACAGCTTGTAGAAGTCAAAATTACAAAACCCGGAACAACCTCATGGCCAAAATTATGAAAAAAAAATCATACATTCGTCAGAAAAAATACTCCAAAATTGATATTTCAACTGGATTTCCAGATTTTCGGGTTCAAAATTAAATTTTTAAAATCTCTCAAATTTGTCACATTTCATTTTCGATATCCTTAAAAAATTGAAGCAGTTTTTGAAAGAATTTCCCATTGAAATATTACAGTTTTTTTTTTTTTTAATTACATCTCAAACCGAATATTTCCAAAATCTGGCCCCGAGACCATAAGAATGCTATATTTTTGGAATCAGCACGTCGAAATCTACATCCCAAAATTTTTTGAAGATTTTCAGGCAATTTTTTTAAAACCAGATTTTTTCAATACTTGAAAATTTCGGAATATTTGGATCATGTTCAAAAATTAACCAAAGACGTTTTCAGATACATTTCGGCCTCCCGAAGTTACTCTAGGTCTCATTTCTTTGATAAGTTTTCCACAATCTCCCATTGAAATATGAGTTTTTTGGATTTTTTTAAATTGAAACGTGAATGACACCCATCAAAAAAAAAAGACTCTAAAGTCGTTATTTCAATTGTTTTTTCGAGGTATTTGGGTACAAATTTACATTTTCAATTACCTCATGTTTCATTTCATTTTAGTTTGGTTATTTTCGAAAAATTGTAGGAATTTTTGAAGAAATTAACTATAAACAGCTTCTAGAAGTCAAAACTACAAAACCCGGAACAACCTGATGGTCAAAAATTATGAAAAAAAAAATCATACATTCGTCAGAAAAAATAGGCCAAAGTTAATATTTCAACTGGATTTCCAGATTTTCGGGTTCAAAATTAAATTTTTAAAATCTCTCAAATTTGTCACATTTCATTTTCGGTATCCCTAAAAAAATTGAAGCAGTTTTTGAAAGAATTTCCCTTTGAAAAATTATAGTTTTTTGTTTTTTTTTTTTAAATGAAACGTCAAGACTGACAGATGGTTGACATTTTCAATTTGCAGATGTATCCAAAACATAACCTAAATTTATAGCGTGTCACGATTGACATATCTGTCACACAATTACTTCCGTTATGCCAACACAAACACAAGAAAAGTTCACATTTTTGTTTAAAAAGTGCTGCCAACAGACTCAGTCATTTCTGATCATACTTCTTCTTTATTTTTTGCATGTGTTCCAATTTTCAATCTTGTTTATTCATACCACTCCAAGTGAAATTTTAAAAATAACGAACAACAAAATTTTGACAGCATTTTCATTAAAAATCCACTTGTACTCACCTGCCAAAAACAGACTCTTCAACTTAGGAACCGAAATATCCCCCAACCTCTGCAGGTGGTTCCCCTGAAGATTCAAACTTTCTAGTTCCGGAAAATTCCGGAGGAACTTGTTACCGATATTTTCAACCCCGACACGAACAAGCTGCAACACCTGCAACCACCCAAAATGTCAATCCGTCCGACTAACACTAATCACGTTACTTTGACTTTGTTGTCACGTGTGGGTGACATAATCCTGCTGATGTTGCCATCGTAGATCGAAACGTTTTCTACTTCGGGATACTTCGTCAGCATGTAGTGCAAGTCGAGGTCATCCTGCTGAATATCTTTTAGTTCTAGAGTGGTCAAATTCGGGGGAAAGTCTTGCTCCGGCGAGGGTAGAAAATTCACGCAGGTTAGGTGCTGAGGGGTGGTGAGGGAGCAGCCGGTGGTGTACGGGAAGCTTGATACGTCAACAAAGAAAATCCTGACGAAAAAAACTAAGTTGCAGTATTGTTTAGTAACAAATTAAATTCTTGCAAGTGGGTCAGTGCCCAGTGTGGGAGAAAAAACGGACTAGACTGCCTTGGGTCAAGGTCTGGGTTCTTTCAAGAGAATCTCTGACTAAGTCAGCGTTACGTGTACGATTTGCATTTTAATCGCTTTTTAATTATTTAATTTTTCACAATAATTCTCTAATAGTTACAAATTAGACCCGATCGCTGACTTTCTCTCAAAATCCGGCCCGAAGGATCCTGATTTGCAATTAGATCTACATAATTACACGTTCGCCGGCTAATAATTAACGTATTCTCAATAAAACTCTCAACCTTGTCCTTAATAGCATTCAGGCTGCGTATTGTTCAGGCTTTCCACATGGAATTCTGGAACCAACGGAAACTTTCGACTAAAAACTTCACGAATTCAAATCCATTCAACTCACGCAATGCTCGAAACAACGAGCTTAAATTGTGGATCGATGTTCTTAAGAGCAAAAATGAATTGTTGGAGAAATAAAAGCCTGAAGTTGGGTGTGGATCGAGTCGTAAAAGTTGGCGGGTTATTAAAAAGTCAAAATGTGGTGGAGCGACAAGATTCAGCGGTATCGATTTCTCCCTCTTAGAAAAACCCATTTTGAAATAATCCTGTTGACACTAGTTCTTACGTAATAACCGAAACCATAACAACGACATACATCCTTATTGATCAAAAATTTAGAGAAAGCGAAGGCTGTTTTAATCGGAATGTCGCAGGTGGATTCATAAACCACGACTACAGGAAGGGGTAATTTCCAAACACCGGGTATAAGTTTATTTGGATTTCCTGCAGCAAAATAAACATCCCGCTTTGTAATTATACCAAAACATAATAATAAAAGCAAATACCAATAAATAAAATAATGTTGAATACACATGAATAAATTTATTTATGGTTTGTTGCTGCAGGATTAATATTACTGACGTCACGATATTTGATTTTATATTTTGCGCTGGACCGTTAATAAACCCGTGTATGCGTAATATATTAATTAAATTTCGAAGCAATCAGAGCATTATGTATCCACTGTTTACACGCCACGTTAATACCCACTAGATTACAATAATAACCTTATTTTGTATGGTGGGGGGAGTAGTGGGAGTCGGTTCCTACTATTCTTCTAGAAAAACATCTACGATAAGTAGTAATTTTCTCTCGCGATCAATAAAACGCCTACGATTTTATTTTTAAATCTGTTTCCTGTCTAGAACACACACCGTATCTTTGGAGTGTTTGCAAAATCTGTTAATTACCGAGCGATGATTGATGTGCTATTATCAGCACAGTTTGTATCTCAATTTAGTTTATTGCTGCCCGAAATTTTCGACTCATAAAATCCCATTTTATCGAAGTCGTTCTATTAGATTTGTTCCATCCAGAATCGAATAAAATCGCTAGCTGAATGTCACCTAATAACCATATGATCGAAAAATAAAGTTGTCTAGTAAGCCATGGAATTTATTTTCAAAATAGCGATGAGCGTTAGACAACTTCAAGTATCTCAAAACCGGTCTTATTTTAATTAGATTATAATTAAAATGGTAGATTATACTACATACTACACTTCAAACGACAAAAACTGATACCTAATATCGGATTTAATGACGTGTATTTACTCAAATCGAGTCACTGGTTCAGAACTGCAACTGCATTTAATTTAACCTCCGATATGAAATCTATTCCCTAGCGAAATTAAATTGCAATTATGCTTGATAATTGAACTACCTCTCAAGTTTACTATTCTATTACCAGCAGTCACTTAATCCCAAACAAACTATTTTCCTCAAAAATTACTCAATGTTTACCCACCAGCAAAACAATCTTGGAAAACAGAATTCCTTATCACGGATTATGCATTTACGTAGTTTATTTTTCTCAAACACGTCTCCGTTTTAATGTTACGTTATTTTAGCAACAATAAATTTCTCTAAATGGGTCCACAATTTGCAAAAATTTTCGATATAATGTAAATTTTTATTTTAACGTAGCATGCACTGATTGGCTCTAATTTGTCTGATGTAGTTGTCAAATCAGTGATGCCAACTACACAGGTTGGACATGGCTTTGGATTTCCATTAAAAACCGTGATCGATGACCGCATAACCCTGACGTCATTATCTAAAAAAAGTAAAGTTGTTTATTTAAAAGATTTTTCTCTCGTTCTCTACTAGCCCCGCCTACCACCCCTTTATATTCTTGCATGATATTTCATTTGCCAAAATTAGTCGTGTCTTGGCAAGTCCTAGCCCCGCCCACCCGCCCTTTATTTTCTTACAGGATATATCATTTGCCACAATCAGTCGTATCTTGGCAAGTACTAGCCCCGCCCACCCGCCTTCTATTTCTTTGGAAGATATGTCATCTGCCAAAATCAGTCTTATCTTATCAAATACTAGCATAAGACTGATTTTGGCAAATGTCATACCTTCCAAGGAAATAGAGGGTGGGTGGGCGGGGCTAGCATTTGATAAGATAAGACTGATTTTGGAAAATGACATACCTTCCAAGGAAATAGAGGGGGGCTTTATTTTCTTAGAAGGTATGTCATTTGGCAAAATCAGTCTTATCTTGACAAAAATTAGCCCCGCCCACCCGCCCTTTATTTTCTTACAAGATATATCATTTGCCAAAATCAGTCGTATCTTGGCAAGTACTAGCCCGACCCACCCGCCCTCTATTTCTTTGGAAGATATGTCATCTGCCAAAATCAGTCTTATCTTATCAAATACTAGCCCCACCCACCCACCCTTTATTTTCTTAGAAAGTATGTCATTTGCCAAAATCAGTCTTATCTTATCAACTATCAGCCCCGCCAACCCGCCCTCTATTTTCTTAGACAGTATATCATTTACCCTAAGGGCGGGTGGGTGATGTTAGTTTGCAAAGATAAGACTTATTTTGGCAAATGATATACCCTCTAAGAAAATAAAGGGGTGGGGGGTGGGGTTAGTTCGGCAAATACCATACCTTTTAAGAAAATAAAAGGTGGGAGCATGGGGCTAGCATTTGATAAGATAAGACTGATTTTGGCAAATGTCATACCTTCCAACGAAATAGAGGGTGGGTGGGCGGGGTTAGCCTTTGATAAGATAAGACTGATTTTGGAAAATGATATACCTTCCAAGGAAATAGAGGGTGGGTGGGCGGGGCTAGTACTTGATAAGATAAGACTGATTTTGGCAAATGACATACTTTCCAAGGAAATAGAGGGGGGCTTTATTTTCTTAGAAGGTATGTCATTTGGCAAAATCAGTCTTATCTTGACAAAAATTAGCCCCGCCCACCCGCCCTTTATTTTCTTACAGGATATATCATTTGCCAAAATCAGTCGTATCTTGGCAAGTACTAGCCCGACCCACCCGCCCTCTATTTCTTTGGAAGATATGTCATCTGCCAAAATCAGTCTTATCTTATCAAATACTAGCCCCACCCACCCACCCTTTATTTTCTTAGAGAGTATGTCATCTGCCAAAATCAGTCTTATCTTATCAAATACTAGCCCCACCCACCCACCCTTTATTTTCTTAGAGAATATATCATTTGCCAAAATCAGTCTTATCTTATCAACTATCAGCCCCGCCAACCCGCCCTCTATTTTCTTAGACAGTATATCATTTACCCCAAGGGCGGGTGGGTGATGTTAGTTTGTAAAGATAAGACTTATTTTGGCAAATGATATACCCTCTAAGAAAATAAAGGGGAGAGGGGTGGGGCTAGTTCGGCAAATACCATACCTTTTAAGAAAATAAAGGGTGGGAGCATGGGGCTAGCATTTGATAAGATAAGACTGATTTTGGCAAATGACATACCTTCCAAGGAAATAGAGGGTGGGTGGGCGGGGCTAGAATTTGATAAGATAAGACTGATTCTGCCAAATGACATACCTTCCAAAGAAATAGGAGGCGGGTGGGCGGGGCTAGAATTTGATAAGATAAGACTGATTCTGGCAAATGACATACCTTCCAAGGAAATAGAGGGCGGCTTTATATTCTTAGAAGGTATGTCATTTGGCAAAATCACTCTTATCTTAGCAAGTACTAGCCCCGCCCACCCGCCCTTTATTTTCTTGCATGATATGTCATTTGGCAAATTTAGTCTTATCTTGGCAAGTACTAGTCCCGCCCACCGGCTCTTTATTCTCTTAGAGAGTGGGTCATTTAACAAAATTAGTTTTATCTTAGCAAGTATTAACCCCGTCCACTCGCCCTTTATTTTCGTTGAAAGTAGATCATTTCCCAAAATCAGTCTTATCTTGGCAAAAATTAGTACCGCCCACCCGCCCCTTATGTGCTTACAGGGTATGTAATTTGGCAAAATCAGTCGTATCTTGGCCCCCCACCCTGTATTTTCTTACAGGATATGTCATTTGCCAAAATTAGTCGTATCTTGACAAGTACTAGCCCACCGCCCTTTTTTTACAGAGTATGTTATTTAGCAAAATCAGTCTTATCTTGGCAAGTACTAGCCCCGCCCACCCGCCCTTTATTTTCTTACAGGGTATGTCCTTTGGGAAAATCAATTTTATCTTAGTAACTTCATGTGGGGTGTTCGGTTAAAAAAGTCATGAAGTTGGCTTTGATTTTTTGTAAACGTTATGTCTACAATTAACCTAAAATTTACTCGATGACAGCCGACAACACGGAAATGTCAATTGTATGGAGCGGTATGAGTTAATAAAACACACGCGTTTCTCTTTACGTTTTCTTCTATCAAAAAAGCAACGCCAACTTGATGACTTTTTTAATCGAACACCCTGTATTCAACTCGTATTGCAATTTAAGTTCAAAACAAAATATTTTTTAACACGAGGAAAGTGTTTTTCAAAAATTTTTTTTAAAGTTTCCTCGACGTTTTATGCTTCCTATAACATGAAAAATTAGGTCCGCCGTTTTGTAAATATCGTGTAGATAATGAAACGCTAACCAAAAATTGTCTGTTACCCCTACCAAAAATTCGACGACGTCATCTCAATATATTGTCAAGTAAATTGTATTTAAAATGTCCAAAATCATATAGTTCTATATAGTTTGTGATTTACTAAGCCTATTTTTAAGCCTGCGTGCGGAATTTTTTCGAAAAAAAAAGGTCCAAAGTGATTCAAACAGAACTTCCCTTGCTTTTGAAGGACAATCAAACAAATCCAGTCTAGAAAAACGATAAAATTTTATTTTGCGAATTTTATTTTGTGATGACACTTATAAGAATTTTCATGTTTCCTTGACATTTCATGGACCCTAGAATATGAAAAATTTGGCCTCCCGTTTCCATTCTATAAGGAAAATAATCTCTGAAACTATCAGAAGCATTGCTGTGAAATTTTAGACGCATTTACAAAGTATCGATGCTCTAAAATAATTCAGACAGAACTTCCTTCGCCTCTGAAGTACAATCAAACAAATCCAGCTTCTTAGAAAAATGATAAAATTTGATTCTGCGAATTTTATTTTGTTATAATACCCCCTGTTAGGCAAAGAAGCATTTAAGGCGCATTCATAAACCACAGATATAGAAGTACGTTATTTTATAAAATTTAAGTGGGATTTATTAATATTAATCAATTTTGGTGTAATTCTAATGAATATAAATGGACAGAAATACCACGTAATAATTTGCACGTTTTAAACAGAATTTAGCAAGCAAAATTTTTCCGTGACGCCATCTTTAGAGGTGATAAACACATAAAATTTAATTAGCGATTTACCGTGTTTACGATAATCTTAAAACACTTGCAAGAATTCAGAGCGTTCGATGTTGTTATACAATTTTGATTATTTTTCCAAAAATCTGGTTGTCGAAGGTAAAAAATTAAGGCGGATTCATAAACCACGTGTATAGAAGTACGTTACTTTATAAAATTTAAATAGAATAATCTCTGAAACCATCAGAAGCATTTAAGGCGCATTCATAAACCCCAAATATAGGAGTACGTTTACACATGCTTTGGGGTCATCGCGAACATGCAAACCTCTAATCCGAAATTATGTGTTCATCCCTTCCAAAACCCCGATGACGTCACCTCAAAATTTTCGTAAATAAACCTCCCTTGAACTTTATAGTGTGACATGCTTTCGTTTAGCAAATTTTACAATTTGTCTGGGAATTCACAAAATGAACTCCTAGACAGGCAATGACGTCATCACAAACGTTTATTAAAAATGTCTTTTGTCTCACTCGAGTCACTTGCGAAATCTTTTCATACAAAATGTTTTAACTTTTGCACAAAAAATGTCATCATAAACGTTAATTCATTCACCTTAAGTGACATTTATTCACATTTATTGTGATATCGGATCGCCCGTTTCGGAGACTGCATTTAATAAAACCGTCATCAGGCGACACATGACAGACACATGGCAAACGCGAAATCAACAGTCACCCGAATAACCCAATAAAAAGCGCATTATCGCACCGCACCTCAATTGTTTTTTCTACGCCGACTTTTCGAACTTAGTGCATCGCGCGAAATGGGTCACTTATTTCAGGCCGCGCAAATTTTCCGATACAATTAGCTCACCAGAATATCGCCAGCATTTTATCCCTTTCTCGCGCACATTTTCACTTCCCCGAAAGCGGCGTTCACGGAGCGACAGCGAGCGAAGAGTGAGTTGAGGCTGCGGACGGTCGTGCGTCAAGGTGATGTGCTCTTTGCAGGTGATCCAAATTGGTACTAATTGCGCGAAATGACGACTTTTCATGATCAAGATCGGCGGGGGACCGCGCGGAGGAGGGGGAAACCGGCGGAAAAATTGCTGCGAGTCGGTGTGGAAAGCGGGGGAAAATAAAACAATTTTCGCGATTTTTTGTTGTTGTAGTGGCTGAAATTATTAAATGAAAGAGCGACAAAACTATATAGGGGTTTCATTGTTGACGCGACACACTAAAAACCAACAAAAAAGAATCAAGGCGAAGAGTGGGGGTCGGACCAGCATCTGCATTGAACACTCTATTCCTGTTTTTGGTGTACTCTTTGAATATTATTAATTCTAAGTTGTTAGAAACACACTCAAACACAAAGCATTGTTATTTAAAATTAAACGTACCATTCGAAGTTGTGTTTTTCTAACTTAGACCCTACCTTTCCCACTAAGTTCTTCTTCGTGCATCGATTTCGTATCTGGTATCTCAACAACTTCATTCCATACATCCAACTATGTCCGGCATTCGGGCCCTTTCATCCAATTTTCCTTGCGCTTATCTTTGTATTGATTTATTATTCTACAAGACGTTCGCAGCAACGGTATAAAAACAAACAGTAATTTCCCAATGGGACCAAAACACAACAAATATTCATAATCTTTTATTTCTGTTTACAACAAAGTTGCCAAGAGATTCTTAATAACTGAACATTAAAAATGTATTATTGACATTCGCGTTAATTTCAGACTGAGGAATTCCAAGCATCCCAAACTTTGGCGAAAATACCTGACAAATTAAATTTGCAGCGCCATCTGCGTCAACAACTTTCACAATTTGAGGTTATGTATAGTTTAATTAAACGGGGTTACTTGATTATATTTTTTTTTAATCCAAGTGGCAGCAGATTTGTTTACGACTCCACATCCACCACCAATTTTTCATGACATATTTTTACCCAAGTCTAAATTTACTTTCAGTGACAAGGCCAAGTACAAATTTACTTGAACTGCATCACTCTTCTTCCGTCACACTTTCCATCAAGGCCTCACTTGTTGCCATGATTCACGTTGACATTTTGGTGTATTAAACCTATAAATATTTAAATAGCCCTATCCCCATTTCTGTTTATATTTGCGATTCATCTCTGAGTACGGGATAAAGCAATTTACATAATAAACCTTTATCTAGATTCCATTTCATACATGACCAAGTCAGAATGTACATTATTATGGAAATCGCGTTGCCTTAAAAGGTAAAATAGGGCTTCGTTACCTTGTGCGCTTTTTACCGTATGGTAGATGAGACGTAATGGCCCGTAATGACTCTAATCATGAAATATGACGAACATTAAAGCACTCGGGTTTATTTACGGAGATTATTATGATTATTAGCATGTCACTGACGCTAATTAAAGTATTCATACGCTAAATTATAGCAAGAATGAAAACCTTGATCCTGATAAGATAAACACTCGGTGTAAATACTTAGTGTTTACCAATCGCTATAATTGGCAACACTTGTTCCTATGTAACAAAAAAAATCAAACTTTGTGTCAACAACTTTAATCAACACGTCGGTGTCAATCAGTTATGACAATTTCACCAAACAGTTACACGTGTTACCAAAATCCCCCAGACAAGCTCGTAAACCTTCTTCAGCCAAATGTGTTTCTTTGTGAGGGGGCGCCGACACCCTACAACTACCAACTGTCGTCACTATTACCAACCCTAGGTACAAACCTGTGAAAAACGTCAATGGCTGCCAATAAAACGTCAATAGCTTGGTCTTTTTCGTTAGAGTCAACGAGTTTAGCTCCTTTTTCATATTCTTCTTCACACCACCTCAGTTTTTTTATATTTTCATCAAGAGAGACGTTTTTTTGACATTTCGGGCACTTCAGTTGTTTTTCGGTGACAGGGAGTGAGAACAAGCATTGACAGTTGGTCGTGGGACACCTGTGAATATACAGGATCATCAAATTGATTGAGAGAGTTGGTACCCCCTGTTTTTGTCGTGAAGTTTGTCAACCTTATGGCAGATTTGTTTAAGGTTATATGGCAATGAATTCAGTGGCGTGACAAAAATTAGAAACTTCAAATCTGACAACTAATGTTTTTACCAAAAAAAAAGTCGAAAAAAGACGCCACTGAGTTTTGAAATTTGAAACTTGAAACTTCAAATCTGACAGCTAATATTTTTATACAACTTAATAAACCAAATTATTCAAGTTCAGGTTTACCAACTCTCTCAATCAATTTTGATGACTCTGTATGTTAGTTATTAATTGACTTGAGCAGGGTGCCAACCTGACGCGTTTAACTAAAGATCCATTAGTGGACCAATCCTCGACGCACGCTGTACATTGGCAGTTAAACCAGTAACGTGATGATAGTGATCGTTGTCGATCTAGTAGTTTGTGGTGGGTGAAAACAGGGCCGTAATTTTCTGCAACGGTGGCACCCACTGCCAGAGGTCGAATAGATTTAACGACTACATGTTTGCCAACGAAATATCTGTAACAATAAAGTGAGTGGTTGCTTTTGTGGTGTTTCATTGCGATACCTGGTGACCGCTGGGTAGCACTCATGGTTGAACAAAGACACAGTGGGGTAAACCCCAACCCCGATATACGCAGGCCTACCACCCCTCAATCTATGCTCTTCAGTGTACAAAGTTTCATAAATCTCGTGTGCATTAAACTGTAGTACTTGCAAATGGTGCAACAATAGCTCTCCAACTTGGTACTCCTGCTCAGTTGGCACCACTGCGTCACCACTTGTCTTAAAAAAACCCGCTTTCTGGAGACATCGTAACAAAAAAGCTGCCATTAAAGTCCTCTGGAGAAAATCAGCACCACTTCGTTTACTCCCATTGGTACAAAGCGCATACCACCCTTCCTTGTTTCTATGAACGTCATCTACACTTTTTTGTGTCATAGTTCTCAAGGCGGCGAGTGACAACACGCTCATCCCGGACCCAATCAACAAATCCAAAAACTTACACTCGTACTTATGGTACGTCGAAATTGCTTCGTTCCGACATTTTGGGCCACAAAAAGCCACGCTGGCGCAATCCGGGCAACCTACGGGCGCCAAAAACCTACAACAGTGCTACCAACCCTCCACACTCTCCCTACCTGTCAAAGCAGTGGTGGCAATGCGTCCCGAACTTTTCCGGAAAAAGACAAGCCACTAGTGGCTCTTCCACAACCAGGGTTTCTCCACAATTGATTTTTTCGTTGGTGATGACGTACCGTCCCAGTTCTTGGGTGTTTTTCACGGTTAGTTTTTTTGATGCGTGGGGTAAATGAGGGTGGCGCTCTCCACTGATTGGTGGAAGTACTAATTCGGGTGGTTTGATTGGCTCGTACTTGCCTTGCATGCTGTCACTCAATTGGGATAGGAGTTTGGGGTCGCTGGTTAACTTTTCGGCTACGTTCAGCGAGATTCGGGCTTTGGTTTCGTCGTTGAGGGCTTTGTAGCAGATTGCCATCATCCAGAAGATTTCGAATTTGACGTTGGAAGGGGGTTTGTGGTTGAGGGAGAGCTGGAGGTCCGACAGAGCGATTGCGTAGTCGTCGAGGGTGATGAGGAGTTTAGCGCGAGATAAAAAAATTAAGCTTAAGGTGGGATCTGGAATTGTTCAGAGGTAAAAACTGAACTAGTGTGATACAGGTGTACCTGTAGGTTTTTCAGTATACGAAACTACAAACTACGGGGAATTTTGTTATGTTTTGTTGGGAACAATGTTTTTGTAGCAAAACGTCAATTGACACAGCTAAAAGTCAATATTACACAAATAAATATACTAAATTCAGTTTTGTATACTGAACTGTGTACTGAGTTATAGTCTGGAAATGTAGTCACCTGTGTGTGGAGCTTTTAAGATACCTTGACTGTAGAGACTCAAACCTTTCTTTTTGTCCCCATTTCTGACCGCCGCTTCACCTTCCAGGAACCTTTTTTTCGACGTTTGCGGGCATTTCTTTCGATAGAACTCTTGCACGTTTGTTAAAAATTCAGTAACGTAGTGTTTAATCTGAAGATTTTTTTTTAATCGTCTTGGTAAAGCATTCACACTTACCGTATCATCCTCATATATCCGCCTAATCCTCTCCTTATCCGTCTTCAGCTTCCCGAACTTCTTAACCCATTGTTCGCCCACATTCTCGGCCACTGCTTCCGCAAACTGCAAGAAAAAACCATCTTTGTTCGACTGCAGAGTTTTTTCGCTGCACAATTGCAAATATTGTTGGTCGAAAATCATCTTGTGGCTACCATCTGCTATAAAAATAGCAATCACCGATCTAAGTTTAGACGATTTAAATTAGAATGTTATTCTGAAACGTACAGGGGCTTGTCAAAAAGTCGCGTTGGGTTGGTACGACTGACGAAATTAAAACACAGTTAACTGTAATGATTGATTTATTTAACACTTATAATAATTATCACATATGGTGGGTCTGAATCTAGGGCAACTCCCTCAAAACCACACTGATATACTCTGTCACAGTGTACTCACAGCTTCTTTGAATGGTCACGTGAGGGTACTGCCGCCGCCATATCATAACCTGCAACCACGTGATCTTAGTCTGTCATATAACTACAGGGTCATCAAAATTGATTGAGAGAGTTGGTACCCCCTGTTTTTGTCGTGAAGTTTGTCAACCTTATGACAGATTTGTATAAGGTTATATGGCAATGAATTCAGTGGCGTGACAAAAATTAGAAACTTCAAATCTGACAACTAATGTTTTTACCAAAAAAAAGTCGAAAAAAGACGCCACTGAGTTTTGAAATTTGAAACTTGAAACTTCAAATCTGACAGCTAATATTTTTATACAACTTAATAAACCAAATTATTCAAGTTCAGGTTTACCAACTCTCTCAATCAATTTTGATGACTCTGTACATCCAGAAAATACCTGGTGGTGGTTAATCGCATTACAGAAACTGATATCCAGTAACCTCAAACTTGGCAGCGAAGCCAACAACCTCTCGCAAATATCCCTAGTAATACTTTTGATTCCCAACAAATCAAGTTGGGCCAAATTTTTACAATACAACGTAATTGGTAAAAGCATGTAGTCGTTGACATCTCGCCACTGCGATATAATCAATCTTGTTAAATTTCTACAATTTTTAGCAATTTTTTCTAAACAATCCCCCGGGTGAGCAAAGGGAAAGCACCACCCTAAATCCAGCTCCTTCAAGTTGGCACAACTGGCGAAGTGCAAGCCACCAATCGCCGTCATCGTAGTCGTCTTAAACGAACTCCACGTAGTTATTTCTTTATTGCAGTTGGCAACAGTTTCGACAACCAGATCGAGGCGTTCCAAACTTTCACAAAAATCTGTAACCAACTGTCAAAGTCAAACAAATCACTGACACCCCCTTACCCAAAAGCAAGTGCTTCAAGCCAGCGTTAGCCTTGAGAATACTAATCAAAGGCTCATCCGTTATCAAAGTCGAGCACAAATCCAAAGTAACCAACTTACGCAGTCGTGCCAACTGCTGAAACCCGTTATTATCGACCTTAGTGTTGCGTAAGCGCAACTCTACAAAAACAAGAGTGACGTGACGTTAAACACCCCGAGTTTTACCTGTGAGATCGTGGCACATCGAGAATTTGAGTATGACGTCGTTGTTGACAAAATCGCAGTGACAGACGGAGATGTGGGTGAGCTGTTGGTAGCACTTGGGGAAAAATCTGGAATACCGTTTACAGGTAACTGCATTATCGACTTGGTACTTACTCGAGGAATGCTTGAGTGAAACTCTTGTCGTCGTTTCCGCACCACGACAAGTCTAATTTACGCACGTATCTACACCGATCTGCCAAAATGTAGAGGGTTTTTCCGTTGATTTTATGCCAGTATCGTTTTAAGGTTAGGTTTTGGTACAGAATTGGGTCTTTGGTGACGGCATTCCATTGGTTGTTGACTTGGGCACATCGACCCAACGTGCACAAATCCAGATATTGGAAAATGTGCACGACTACTTCATGCTGAAAGAGGTTATTATATTTTCAGTGCAACCAACCACAATACAAAAATCCCTAAAAATTAAATACCGGCAGTCGTGAAAACAAGTCACACTTGTCGTCCCACGTTTCGCCGTCTTTAGAAACCACTTCAGGTGTCCACTTTAGTAAATCTTTCTGTAGGATATGTTGTTGGAGCACTTGTTTCGGTTCGTAACCTCCGAGCAAGACGGCATCGATGGAAGTGTGATATTTTAAATGGCTTTGGTTGAATTCGATACGGATTTCGCTAGATAAAAAAACATTAAATAGAACCCCGGACTGCACTAATTCTCACTTGATTAAACAATTTAAATTTCTTATTGTTGGATGGAACTTGCGTGCCCCCTCGGGACACTCCTGTGGGGGGCCCTCCCATAAAAGCTTCCAATCTAAGTCGGTAAACCGCCCCCATATGCGCACCACAGCCCCTGGGTTAAAAGTTTCATAAATGCAGACATCTCGAGGTACCACTGGGTGCTCAAATCTGTAAATAGTCATGGTTTTATTGCTTCAATTTCCACGTTACTGTACCCCAGAGTGACGTAGTCTTCAGCCCCTAACGGGTCCTCTTCCAGTGGCATATACTCTTTCTGGTAGGCCTCACTTTCTTTCCACCATGTCCCGTACGATCTCTACAATAACAAATTTAGTAAAAGTGTGACCCCCATTTTTTCCTAACCAGAATGTACGTCTCCGCGAAGTCACCATACAAAGGATACTTGGCGCATTTTCCTACTAGATTCTCCGGGGCATACGATATACTAAAACTGATGTTGTATTTCGAAGTGTAGTTGATGACAGTTTGCGCATATTGTTCTAAGTGGTTCATATCGTTCATCATAGTCTCCACAGGAATGAACTTTTTCTCTTCTTCACGCACTGCCCGATTTTTTTTTATTACAGCAGTCTGCATTGTGACATTTTTTGCGAATTTCCTAACCTCAACTACTCACAGTGAAACCATAGATTAATAAAGATGCGACATTGACATTGGAGTCCTCAAGCGCCAAATTTAAATAGTCAATAAAAACCTTGTTTCACTATAATTGTAATTCGTGTGACTTGAATGAAAATGAAGGAAACATTCTGGTAAATCTAGAATCAATTCGTCGATTTTTTTTTAACTATGACGCTTCTCTATGTTCTCTGGTGAAACGTTAAGTTAACAAACAAACGTCAAACGAAAGCAGCGACCGCAAAAAGTTGGGAGAGTCAGCAACCGTCAAAATTTCACCATCAACAATGACATTTATTTAAAATTTCGCGCCACATTTGTAAAACTTGTTTATTGCACATGATACAACTTCAGAAGATTATATGTGAGGTGTAATAAAACGTATTGCTGGTTTTGAAAAGGTTCGCCCTCACGCGATCGAGTGGAATATTCGAAGACACTTCTTCGACTGGCGGTTGCGCGTCCATCTTCTTGAGCAATTGTCCGATTCTAGCGTCATCCAGACATTCCAGCTCTTGATCGTCGTTTTTCATGTAAGCGTCGAACATCTTCGAGAACCTCGTGAAGGGTAAGTAGGCTCTGGCGTCCGTTTTCAGGGAATACTTTCCGGATTTTAACCCTTTTTCGCTCAAAATCGAATCGACGTCGTCGTCTTTGGTGTATGGGGTAAACAAAGTCTCGTAGGGTGGATTCAAAGCGCTGGTGTAGTCTTCAGTGGGGGTAGGACAAAGGACGAATTCGCCACAGGTCACGATTTCGATTTTGCGGGTCGGACTTTCGTAGTAGGTGGAGATTTGTTCGATTAGGTTTAGAATTTCGGCACCTTGAATTAACTGACTACGGCACTTTTTAATTATTATTGTTATAGTGTTAAGGGGATTTACCCGAAAGCCACGTAGTTGTAGTCCATCCAGCTGGCAGGGTTTAAGGTTATGTAGAACTGGGTGCTGTTGTTGACGTGTCGTTTTTGGTTACACATGGAGAGGAGTCCGCGCCGGTCGTGAGGGACGGCGTAGTTTTCACAAGGTTGGTGGACTTCGCGCAGATCGAAGCCCCCGCATTGGATCCAACTATATTTGGCGATTCTAGCAATTTTCGTTGTTAATTAGTTGGTGATTTTGGTCAGATTGGTGTGGTACCTGTGTACTTTGGTGCCTTTGTAGCCAAATTTTGGGGTTCTTTGGGTACACCGGGTTAAGAAGTTGTCGCACGTGATAGGCACTAAGTCGTTGTATAACTGAATTTAAAGTAGTAAATGTCTTAAGTTTGTGCTTACCATGAAGAGCATCGAACCTACGACTCGCTCATCTATGGCGATAGTCAAGTAGACGAATTTTCTCTAAAACTTACAACTTCACTTTAAGAGAAAATTTAGTACCATTTGTACCTTATACTTGTCGGTTATGTCTTGAAAGTACCTTATTATGTCTTTCTCCGCTAGACTTTCAAAATCCGCACTTATTTCAAGCCTGTACTTCCCCGTTATAAAATTAAGAAGAGCTTTATCATCTCCCAGAAGTTGTCCATCGAAGTAGACAGCCACCGGCGCTTTCAGCAAATAGTACGCTTTCCCATGTCGCCTCTTCATCTACGTCAAACTACAATCTACCTCACACTCACCCTCTTTCTCTACCCACTTTAGTCAAATACTCGTCCCAATCCAAATTCAACATAGACCTGATTTCCGGCTTATCATACTCCGTCGGGTAACTAGCGTACACCTTCTCCACCACATACTTACACTTCTGGAACTCAACGCTCGGTATAAACCCCACTACTTTGAATTTTGGCCGAATCGTGCGCCGATTGTACAAAAAAAACTCGTCGTCCATGTTTTCCAAATCGTGTCAAATTTTGACAAACGTGCCAAAAATGGCGACGGATTCAAACAAGTGTCACTTCCTGTGTTTTCACGCGCTCTTCTACACGTAGAAGATTAGACGGTGACGCACTCGTTTTCACGTAGACTGTAACCGGATATAGTAGCGCCGAAACATTTAGTATTCGTAAAGGAAAAAGGAATTCATAAATCATTTTAAGAAGCGAGTTAGTCACAGTCGTGGGATGACGAAGTTGTATTTTTGTAGCTGAATGTACCTGCGAGTGCTTGATTCAAATTTAAATTTAAATCGGAAATGTAGATCGCGTCCTGTGTTTATCGTCTTTGAGACAGAACGAAATTTGTGGAGGGAAATCAGTGACTATCAAAAGTTGTTTGCAGTGAAACCACAGAGAACACTTATTAATCATTTATTCACTTATCTATCAATAATACAATATAAATATCTTGAAACCGAGCTAAACGTAGCCCATTAAACTTTAAAAATCACATAGATTTTGATATGTATTTATTTGACATGGAGTTGACACATATTTCGAAAGTATAATTGACGAGAGCGAAGTCACGAAATTATTGCAACTGTCAAACACAACCAGTATCTTATCTAAGACATCCTCGAAACTATGATAAGAATTATTTGGTAAAAGAATGACTAAACCTAGTAAAGCGAGTAGAAAAATAATAACGTTAAGTATTTCTCTTAGAGTAGTACTAATACTTTTGTATAATACAGTACTTATTGTACAAATCGGAATAAATTATAATCCTCGCACAGCAATAAATAGAAAAACACTCGAAAGTCATCAGTACGGCCTCCACACGCTGGCGGGGTCGCTGTTGTGCTCTTGCGTCCTCTCGGCGCCGTCGTCGAGGGGCTCCTGGTGGGTCTGCGCCACCTCCGTCGTGACGTTCTGCGCCAGCTCGATGGCCCTAGTCGGGTTCAAATTCAGCGCCTCCGAGCCCAAGTACTGGTCGATCTTCTCGGTACTGCCGTGCAGATGGAAGTGGATCTGGTTCTGGTTCACCGTGGAGTACAACGGCGGGTACAACACCATCGCCCCCGTGTACTGCTGGTTGTTGTTCGGCGTGTTGTAGTAGTTGTAGTTGTTGGGGTAAGTCGTGTTGGTGCCCCAGTTGTTCGGGTAGTAAGTACTGTTGTCGGAGTACCGCGGGCTCGAGCAGATCATGGGGTCGATCTCGGATTTGGCACTGTTGAGCATGGGCGTCGGGGAGGTCAGCGATGTATTGATAAACTCGTTATGGCCGGGCTCCGGTAGTACTGCGAACAAATCGAAGGGTCAACGGTCGCTTCATTTTCAGCACGAAATGCTAATGAGGCTGTTTACACGGGACTGCCGAATTTGGGGAGGTAGTTGATATGTTAATCGGGTACGATTAGTACCGCATTTAGCTAGAAGGGTATTGCTCTCTAGGTGGTACTTTAAGGAAATCTACATCCTCTGATTATGTAATGCGGACTCACCGGTGGGTAGATGGATGGAAGTGCTGTGCGCCGGCTCTTGGTGGTGGTCGTAGTACGGGGTTTGGGGGGTGTACGGGGTGTAGGTGGTGGAGTAGTCGGGCCACGTGGTCGGGGGGCAGTGGGCCGGGGGGCCGTTGGAATGTAGAGAGCTATCTGCAACAACAAAACCTTCATATCATTATTCCGTTTACCGAACAGATGGAATTCTATCACTGTCGTACTTAGTTATTAAATTAATGCATGCAAGTGTGTCAGCGCAGTGCGGTCGCGCCTTAGAAGGGCGTCCAACTTTCGAACACAAAACAACGAAAAATAAAAGCAATAAAGACGCCAGCACTACCAGCAACGCGGATTTACCGCTTTATTAATATTCGCGCGGCGTCGCTGACCATTATGGCGTATTGTATGTAAATGACATTTAGAATGTAATGTGTCTACTATTGTTATTATGTAGTTCATAAACTAATAATTCTCATAAAAGAAAATCTTCGCCCATGAGTCGGCGTCCTAAATACTTGACATAGTCGCACTCGTGCGGTAAACCCCTTTTCCGCACGCCACTGCCGTCGCGGCACACGCCACTGCCGAATCCACGCCTGCCAACCGAATTCCGCGAAATCGAGATTGGGAAAACTGTACATCAAGATCAGAGAAATCGCGAACGTGGAAGTATTTTTATTATCAAATTGGCGTTTCCGTTATAAAAGTCGTTTTGACAGGTCGTACGTGACGCGGCGTGTGGGTTTGGCTTTAGTTTTTTTCCCGTCAGCGGGAGAAAAAATCAATTAATGCGATAATGCAAGTCAAGATTGATACTTATTATTAGAGTCTAGTTTTCTAATTCTGGCGTGTGTTGTCCTTGAACGCATGTAAATAGGTTGCAGAGAAAACGAAATCGTCGAAATACGGGGAAAAACGAGCGGAATATAGATATTAATGAGGGAAATACCGTAGTGCTAAATTACGGTGGGACGTTTTTAGAATCGGAAAAAAACTTTGGCTTTTAAATTATTTATCGCTTATTGTTTTAGAATGGGTACGAGTGCGTTCCGAGAAACTCGGATAAATAGTAGACGGGGCGACGATTTAGCTGTAGACATAAGGTAGATTTGACAATTTTGGCCTTGAGCGATGAGCTCTCACCCAGACTCTTTTTGACACCGGGGACTAAAGCCAGAAATTTAAAACCTCCCATTCCTTTTGTTCATTCGGGTAAAAGAAATTACGGTAGGTATAGTCGGGGCGATTTAAAGTGGCACAAAATGATTATATTAAATAATAATTGATGAATCTTTTCGAGCTTGCAGAAACGTCGTAACAAAAGCCCGTTTTGTTCAGACAGGAAAGTAACCGAACCCTAACAGCGTTAAATTTCCTACGGCTTCGCGTTGTGCCGTACTGAACACACCCATACCCAGCCAAATCAAAACTTAATCATAAACCCATCATCATACGTGCACATCAACATGCGTCGGGAAATCCGACAATGACACTGACACTGACCAAAACTTTCGTCTATCCACCTTGAATACGTATGAGGCAGCGAAACCGGCGCTGGATCAAAGAGGCGGAAGCATAATTTCGCAAAACGGGCCTAATTCCCCCGGACCCGTCATTATCGTGATTATCCCCGAAAAGAAGAAAGGCGATCGCCGCCGCCGCCGCCGACTCGGCCATCGAAGACTCTGCGGGTTTCGTATTGTAAAGGGGCGAACTGTTGCGTAAGGTACTTAGCGAAGTATTAATTATGAAGTGCACAATGGTCTAAACGAGGCGAAGCCTTGTCGATAACCATAGAGCGAGTTTTGTGGTTTATTGGCCTGGAGGAAGGTCGCCGATTAAAAGCAATTGATGAATGAATTGCGGTCTTCGCAAAAAGCGGAACACCGAAGGGAGGCTTGAAAGAGAGATGACTAGGGAAATCTGAGTGGATATTAAATTTAGTGAAAAAATCGGCGGGTTTGGACGCATTTTTTCAAACGAACTGGTGCTAAATAGCCCGGGATGACACGAAACAAACCTTGTTTACTTTTTATTGGATCCTATGAGTTACTGAATATCCAAAAGGTGGACTGACAAGTTATTGACAAATAAATGTTGATTATGTGTTTTACAAGGACAATTAGGTACATAAAAATTAAAGGTCTTATGGAGTTTTAAACTTGAAAATTAACAAAGTTAATTTCCGTGACTATACTACGTTTACTGAACAGATGGAATTAAAAAAAAGCGAGTACTCCGTCTGTTCGCTAAACGTGCTACAGATAGATTAAGGGTGTGCGGTTGATTTAGTTTTGGTTTGATCAGTGTGGGAAAACTGAAGAAAACCCAGGTACATGTATATACGTATTAGGAGGATTAAAGTTGATTACTACAAAAATTTACAATTTTAGATATGTTTTAAGTTTCTTGTTGTCGAAATAAGTCTACATATATTAAGAAAGAAAAAGGAAAAATGTAGCCCCGCCCACCCGCCCTATCTCAATTGTGATGATTTTTTTTATTCTGTATTTTGCCATTTTTTGTTAATGAACAACACGATACTCAAAAACATGTTTTTAATTTCCTGTAAAAAAATACGTATTTTGCAGTTAAGCTCCGCCCCCTTGGTTCACGTCGAATAAAAAAAATCATCACAATTGAGATAGGGCGGGTGGGCGGGCTTACATTTTCTTTTCTTGTTTTAATATGTGTACACCTCTTTTCACAACATCAAACTGAAAACATGATTAAAATGGAAAATTTGTATAAGGAAATTTTGCAATTAGGTTCCATCCCATACTATTTTAATCTTGTTTTAAGTTTTTTGTTGTGAAAAGATGGCTATGTATATTAAGAAAAAAAAAAAGGCCAAATATAAGCCCCGCCCACCCACCCTATCTCAATTCTGATGATTTTTTTTATTCGTCGTAAGCCGAAGGGGGGAGCTTAATTATAAAATCTTTATTTTTCTACGAGAAAATACCATGTGAAATGTGTTCTTAAGTAATCATGTTATACGTACAAAGAAAACTAAATGTATTCATTAAAAATAAAAAAGAAAACCAAAAGAGAAGCCCCACCCATCCGTCTCGATCTCAATTATGATGGATTTTTCATTTGTTGTCAGACCGAGGGGTTATTTGCAAAATCGATATTTCCCTATACAAATTTACCATTTTAAATATTTTAAGTTTCTTGTTGTGAAAAGATGACTATACATGTTAAGAAAAAAGGCTCCGCCCACCCGCCCTATCTCAATTGTGATGATCCTTTTCTTATTTGTCGTGACCCAAGAACGCGGAGCTTAATTGCAAAATCTTTATTTCTATACGAGACATTAAAAACATGTTTCTGAGTATCGTGTTGTTCAAAGAATACTTTGTATATTAAGAAATTCTCTAGGATTCTCTGGTATTTTTCCCAGATTCTTCCGGATTCTCCCCAATCCTCTTGTATTCTCTCATATTTTTTCGAATCCTTTGCGTATTATTTAAGATTCTGTCAAATTATCTGCAATTGTTTTCAGATTCTCTCTGGTTCACACGGATAGTTATAAATTCTACCAGATTTTCTTGGATTTTTTCATATTCTCTCAGATTCTTTTGGTTCTCTTGAATTCTTTGGGATTTAGGATTTTTTCGGATTCTCTTGTATCTTTTCGGATTCTTTTGTATTATTCAGAATTGTATCTATTTCTCTTCAATTATTTTCGGATCCTCTGTGATTCACTCGGATACTCCCAGATTCTGTCCGATTTTCTGGGATTCTTTCATATTCATCCGGATTCTTTCATATACTCTCGAATTCTCTCGTATTCTCTAGGATTCTTCCAGATTCTCTCTTATCCTCCCGAAATTTGGTTACTGTATTCTTTCGAATTCTCTTATATTCTCTGGAATTCTTTTCGTATTCATTTGGATTCGTTCGGAAGGCAAAATGAGCCCCGCCCACCCACCCTGTCTCAAATGTGATGAATTGCAAGAGAATTTAATTGCAACATCTTTATTATTTCTGTACAAGAAATTACCATGTGAGACATGTTTTTGAGTCTCGTGTTATTCAAAAATTATAGCCAACGATTAAACCCCAAACTTGCCCTGACCTAAGTGGTAATGAAATTTTCATTCGTTGGCAGACCTAGAGGCGGAGCATAATTGCAAAATATCGATATTTTTTACAAAAATTTAGCATTTTAAACAGTTGTTTTAAGTTTGTAAGAATAAAAATTCACGGCAAATAAAAAAATCATCACAACTGAAATAGAGCGGGTGGGCGGGCATACATTTTCTTTTTTAGTTTTAATATGTGCAGACTTCTTTTCACAAAGTGAAACTTAAAACATATTTTTAATTTCTTGTGAAGAAATAAGTATTTTGCAATTAAGCTCCGCCCCCTTCGGTTCATGGCCAATAAAAAAAATCATCACAATTGAAATAGGGAGGGTGGGCGGGCTTACATTTTGCCTTTGTGTTTTAATAGGGGTGTAAACTTCTTTTCACAACATGAAATTTCAAACATTTTTAACATGGAAAATTTGTATAAGGAAATATCGAATTTGCAATTAGGCTCCGCCCCATAATTGCAAAATCCATATTTCCTTGCAAAAATGTACCAATTTAACCATGTTTAAGTTTCCTGTTGTGAAAAGATGGCTGTGTATATTAAGCAAAAGAGGCAAAATATAGCCCTGCCCACCCATCCTCTCTCAATTGTGAGGATTTTTTTTTATTCGTCGTCAGCCAAGAGGGCGGATTTTTTGTACAAGGAAATTTTGCAATTAGGCTCCATCCCATACTATTTTAATCTTGTTTTAAGTTTTTTGTTGTGAAAAGATGGCTATGTACATTAAGAAAAAAAAGGCCAAATTTAAGCCCCGCCCACCCACCCTATCTCAATTCTGATGATTTTTTTTATTCGTCGTAAGCCGAACGGGGGAGCTTAATTATAAAATCTTTATTTTTCTACGAGAAAATACCATGTGAAATGTGTTCTTAAGTAATCATGTTATACGTACAAAGAAAACTAAATGTATTAAAAATAAAAAAGAAAACCAAAAGAGAAGCCCCACCCATCCGTCTCGATCTCAATCATGATGGATTTTTCATTTGTTGTCAGACCGAGGGGCTATTTGCAAAATCGATATTTCCCTATACAAATTTACCATTTTAAAT